GAACCCTTGCTGTTGGTGGAAACATAAATTAATGCAGTCATCATGGGGAAATTGTGTGGAGGTTTCTCAAAAAACTAAAAGTAGAACCATACCATAGGATCCAGCAATCCCACTCCTGGACATATATCCAAAGGATTTGTTATCAGTATGTCAGAGAGATGTACACTCCCATGCTTACTGCAGCTCTATTTATAATAGCAAGATACGGAACTGCTGGGAGCCATTAGCCAAGTAGGTATGACAATTTCCTTGCCAGCGTACCCCATGTTGCTTAGTGGAAGGACTCGTGGAAATAGGACATTTTACAGTGACATTGCATGTAGGTAACCTTGCCCAAGAACCAGGAGCTAAGATATTGTTTCCATGACAAAGTTGCTGAGGACATGGCTTCTATCTGAGCATGTAAATCTTTAAGGATATTTGTCACATTGCCAGAATTGTCAGGAATGTAAACACAACATTTAACTTTTAGGGTTACAGATGTCCTTTCCCTTAAGATATAGTTTAACAATTTAATGTCATCTGATCTTGCAAAATCCTTTTACTAGTATGACCTCTGTGTCTAATAGAGAAATCTTTAATTCTGTTACTTAGGGCTGGATAACCATACTAGCAAACATTAAGCCTACCTGTGTAGGTTAGAAATAAAGGCCTTAAACTAAAAACTACTCTGGCAGTTCCTTTTGATAGTTATCAGGCATTCCTGTCTGAGAATCTCTTTTGTAGCCTCCAGTTTACTTATTTTTGGAAGTTACATTTAACTATTATTATTATTTAAAATGCCCAGGGATAGCTGCGTTTTGGCTTTGACTGTCTTTGCTAAGTGTTTAAGATGAAGCAAGTCAAACTGACTTTTGTTTCTATCTATTGTTAACAGTTAGCTGAGTTTCCCTGGGAGTCCTCGGGGAACTTACAGCAGCTTCTCAGTTCCGCTAGTGCCGTTTGCGCTAGGATGGGTCCAGGCCTTGCTTGACCATGTGGCTTCCCTTGGAAGCATCAGGGATGTCTCCCTTTTCTGATGACCCTCCTCTTCACAGCAAATGCACTGATTGGCTTTCTGTCCTCCACTGGTCTCATTAATCTCCCTGCTCAGGAGGTTATGTGGCCCAGAGTTGCAAAGCTCTTTGGAGAAGTCCCCTATTCCCTGGATTCAGACTGACTCAGAGGGCAAGAGCCAAATATTGGTTTTCTTAGCAACATGGGGTACGCTGTCAAGGAAATTGTCATACCTACTTGGCTAATGGCTCCCAGCACGGAACCATGCTCAGTGCCCAACACAAGAGGATGGATATGGAAAATGTGGTATATTTACACAATGGAATAGCATTTGGCCTTAAAAAAGGAAGAAAATTCTGTCATTTGTGATATGTGGATGTACGTGAAGGACATTAATGCTGAATGAAATGCGCCAGGTACAGAAAGACAAACTGCATGATTTTAATTATACAGTTATACATGATTTCAATCTGTACAGTTAACTCCTGGAATAGGCTGGGAGTAGCAGAAGTGGGGAGATGTTGGTCCAAGAGTAACAAAGTTTCAGTTAGACAGGAGGAGTGAGTTTGAGATCTATTGCATGGCATGATGGCTTTAGTTAATAATAACATATGTGCCATGGCTGGGGTTGTGGCTCAGTGGTAGAGCATTTGCCTAGCAGGTGTGAGGCACTGGTTTTGATCCTCAGTACCACATAATTAATAAATAAATAAATAGTTATTTAAAATAATAATAATATGTATTCCAAAATTTGTAAGATAGTAAGTTTCAAATATTCTCACCACAAAATAAGCATTCAAAGTGATGGATAGGTAGACTTGATTCAATAATTCTACATGTCATAATATTATACCCCATAAAATCATACAGTGATAATCATAATAATTTGTCAGCTTATAGTAAAAAAAATTTAAGATAGTATACTATAAAATAAAAGGCATAAACTTGAAAAGTTACTGGATCACTCCAGACCCTATGTTGTGGATCCCTAAACCCACAATGAAGCAGAGAGGACTTGGGGGGAAATCCTTGTTTATTGACAACACTTGGCAATGATTCCACTCAATTTAGGAACACTGTGAAAATATGAACGAGATGATGTGCAGATTGTTGGCTGAGAAAATTATAACTCAGGAATTATTTATATAACTATTAGATCATAATAGATCATAAGTGAAAATGTTCCTGCTCTTAGCAGAAGCACATTCTGCTCTCAAGGTCTGTCCTCATGCCCCATGTCATCTTTACTGTACCTATTTCTCTTCCTATATTTATACCCACTTTCAGGTCTTTTCCTTCCCGTTTCAAATCCGGTAAAATTTAGTCTGTTTCCATGAAGAGCCCAGGAATGGAGTTTCTTTGCCCATGGGCTAGCCTATGGGTCAGTCACAAGGGCCAGGAGGACGGAGCATGCTGAGGGACTGAGCTCTGGCCCTGTGCTGCAGAGCCATCTACCTCACCAGAAGTATGTGCCCAGAGGTGGAGGAGGGCTGGCTCCCCAAGCAAAACCAGGGCATTGTTGCCAAAGGAAGGTAGAAGATTGTCAGCAGCAAAGACAGCAGATGTCCACAACCAACAACATGAGACTGAGATTTTTCTCATGTGGACATTGAATGCCCCAGGTGTTAGATATCTTGCCCTAGGTCACACAGCTGGAAAGTAGCAGGGACTGGATTTGACCCCATTCATGTGTATGACAGGCAGAAGGAATGGGGGGGTGTTTTGCAGGCCAACTACAGTCTGGAGGTGCTGTAAACAGATTGGTGAATACTCAGAGGCAAGAGGCAATGGGGGAACAGGGCATCCAGAGCGCCTCTAGGCATATGCCAAGTGCGATGGTTTGGATATTCAATTCCCCGAAGCCTGTGTACTAAAGTCTTGGTCCCCACTTGGACACGATTGGGAGTAGGTGGGAAATGCAAGAGGTGGGGCCCCATGGGGGATCTTTAAGTCCCTGGGACATAACCTCAAAAGGGATCATGGGACCCATCTTTTCTTTCCTCGCTCTCTTACACTTTCTGGCCAGCGAGGTAAGCGTGGTTTTACTCTGCCACAGTCTTCTCCCCTATGACACACTGCCTCACCAAGCACAAGAGCAACTGGGCCAGTTAATCATGGACTGAAACCTGTGAAACATGAACCAACATAAACCTTCTCTCTTTATAAGCTGATTGTTTCAGGCATTTGTTGTGATACCATGAAGCTGACTAGCACATCAGGCTGAAAAATAAAGGAAGAGCTCAGGCCCTGGTGTCACGTGGGTCCAGACTTTGCTATTTGCCAGCTGATGACAGTAGAAAGGACTTAAGTGGTCAGCTCACCGTCATCATCTGCCATACAGTGATCCATGCTTCATGGGACTCTTGGGCAATTAGCATACAGAAAGGAGCTGTGTGGTGCCTGGCACATCAAGCTCAGAAAAGGGTTGATATTGATGTTCTGAAATAGTAGGTCACAGAAGGCAACAAATGGGGAAGATCATGGGAAAATAAGATGGAAAATTATCCATGGGCTTGATTATGCTAAAGATGTTAGCTTTTATTCTTCAGAAAATGAGAATGGTGGAAGGATTTTCACTGGAGGGATGACTTCTTCAGTTATTATTTTCAAAGATCACTCTAGCAGCAATGTGAGAGCTAGCTCACATTTCTCTCTCTCACACACACACACACACCAGGAAGAAGGAGCTTTAGAGACCAAATCAGCCAACATCTTGATCTTGAATTTCCCAACCTTAAGAACTGAGAAGGAAATGTCTGTTGTTTAAGCCACCCAGTCTAAGTGATTTTGTTACAGCAGCAGAGCTGAGACACTCAGCATCAGGAGATGGCCCACAGGGAAATGCATGGAAGCCAGTCCAACCAGTGCCCATTCAGTCCTCAGTACTGTGAGCACAGCCTGCCTTTGTGGAAGAACCACACACACACACACACGTCCTGAATCCAGCCACCATCCAGTGGGAACCCCCAACCCATGCATAGCTGTATCCCATTGGCTCTGGAACTCCCAATTTTGCTGACTTAAGTCAAATTCCTGGTGTTGATAATAAATTCTCATTTCAGTGGCCCACTCATTGCATGTCCATCCTGTGGAGAAACAATAATTCAGCCAACTATTTCTCCTATTCTCAGATGTTTACACTGTTTCCAAATTTCTAGTAATAAATGTACTACATCAACTGAACATTGGAACATTTGACAACAAAGTATTGATTATGTGAATTCTGGCAAGAACACATCACTGAAACTTGGTCATTTTTCTTGGGTTCAAGATACCAACTCTTAAACACTACTTCCTTCTCAAAAGATGAAATTAGAGTTCATTTGACAAAATTCAACAGTTGTGGATTAAAAAAAAAACTTAACCAAAAAGATAATTTCCTAATGATGAAAAGTACCTATTAGACACTCCAGCAAAATCTTAAGGATACCCTTAAGGCACTTCAACACTGGAGTTTCTAGAAGGAAAACATTTTTAAAGGAAAGAAAAGAGGCATCTTCCAGGAAGTAAAGAGATCTATAAACTTAATATCCTTTATTTGCTTATTTTTGTTTTGTCTTGTTGTTGTTTCATGGTACTCGGGATCAAACCAGGGCCTCCTCACACATGCTAGACAAGCATTCTACCATTGAGCTACATCCCCTTCCCCAGTGCTTTTATTTATTTATTTATTTATTTATTTATTTATTTATCTAATTATTTATTTATTTTGAGATGGGGACTTACCAAGCTGCCCAGGCTGAGCTTGAATTTGTGACCCTTCTGCCTTCACTTCCTATAAGTTCAACTTTTAAGGATGGTACTATGAAGATACATATATTTTTAAATGGACACGTTTTGGATCTCCAACATTCCCTTTCTATGAATGTAACAGGAAAACAAGTAAGGCTATGTACATAGATGCATTTATGAGGCTGCTCTCCCCAATGCCTCAACAATCAGAAAACCCGTTTGACAACAAAGTATTGATTGTGTGAATTCTGGCAAGAACACATCACTGAAAATGGTGCTGCAGAAAAGAATTTATTGGAAAAACAGCTAAAACTAGTATGTTCAACATACATTTTTTTTTGCAGATAATTGTGCACACACACACGCACGCACACGTACACTCACACACACTAGGATGTGTTAGAAATATCTATGCCAGAATATCGATGATTCCTTGTGCTTTGTGTCTTCTAAATCTTCTAAGAGATGTATTACTTTTCTGATTAGGAAAACTAACATACTTTAAACACTACCTCAAATGACTGCTGTAGACTGCAAAGAAAGTAGTTCAGAAACGTAAAGAGATTCTAATGGGAGACAGTAGCAGCTGCACACTTGGTCACAGCTCTCTATTCATTTAAACTCCTCAAGACCATGAAGTTCAATTGGATTCTTATTGTTCTATTTTATTAAAACAAAGGAAGAGGGTAGGTCTAAAGGATAATCTACATGTGTACATGTATATGTTCACGCACAAATACACACACACCCTGTTTAGTTACATTTGGGAACCAGCGATTCTGCCAAATTGGGAGTGGGTCATGGACACCCTGCAACCCAGTGATTGGACTGGGGGGACATAGAGCTCACTGGGCTGGTTCCCTGGTTCACGTGACCAAGTGGAAGCAAAGGAGGGAGTGACAAGAAGAGGAAAGGTCACCACAGTATTTCATGCATGCTCTCAGACAGAAAATGCAACAACCACCACACAATGAGAATTTTTATGCATATGTCTTTGTAATCAGTACAACTCTTCAGGACAAAAGAGACCAAAAAATTAAAAAAAAAAAAAAAAAAAAAAAACAGGAATACAGGATTTTAAACAGTTACAGCCCATAGGTCGACATTACAAACTAGGTTTAGATCATCTGGAGGCTTTTTAAAGAGGACTGAGGTGCAGAATTGACTCCCAGAAAAGGTGCTGAGAGGGTAGACTTATCTAGAATAAAGGAACTGCTAATCATTAAGAACTTCTGGTGTTTGCATACAGTCCAATACGTGGGGAAGAGAGCAAGTCCGTACTGGTCTTGGTACATGCTGAGTGGTAGAGGCTACTGCACATTTCTTTATTTTCTAAAGTAGGCAAGACTCATAAGTTGGTGGATTCGCATCGTGATTACTTGATACCAGGCATGCACGTGTTATTGGTACAGAGTGCTTTAACAGGAAAACTGCTGGATTTAAAAAATTCTGACAAGGTCATTTTTACCTCAAAGGACTGTTACCCTTTCAGTTGCTCATTCATCCAACCATTAGTTATCCCAAACTATGTGCCAGCTTATCTGTCCTCTCTTCAGGAAGGCCAGCCCCAGAGTAGGTGAGAAGAGATCATGACAGGGCCAACACTAAGATAGCCAGTGGACAGCTCCACCTCACCACCCGTCGTCCCCAACCACGAGACAGCGATCTGACTCCTGAGAGGAAAGAACAATTCCCTGTTCAAGCTGAACAACCTTCAAGGGGAATGTGACCATTGTGAGGCATGTGGGACTGGAGGGAGGGGGAAGAGGTGGAATCATTCTTATCTGCAAAATTAACAGAAGGGAGAAAATCATGCCATTTACTTAACTTTGTTAAATGCAGTGGGTCTCAATTCCTGGGGGTGGTAGGCAAAGTCAGCCCGACTCTCCGCCCACTACCTTCCCAGGGAAACAGGCTGTGGGTATAGCTGCTTGCTAAGAAGCTGCATGCAGATGGCACAGACTCAAGGCTCAAACTGCAATCACTTGTTAGTCATGCTTCCCATCTTCAGTTCCTTTGGGGGTAAAAATACCACAAAGGGGGAAAAAATGGCTTTTCTCATGGTATATGTCATTCTTGCATTTTCTGTTTTTAAAAGTCCACATAACCACACTCTATTTTATTATAAAAATCAGTACCTCTCCTAGTTAACAAAAAAAAAAAAAAAAAAAAAACCTTCTCTACAATTATAGTTTTGGCTTCAGAATTAGCAAACCAATTAGATCAAGTTCATATTCATGGCATCAACAATATTCCTGTAAGCACTGCCAAGGTCTTTCAGAGGTGAAGATAAAGATGTCAATCCATTCTTCCAATGCTGGTCAGGAGAAGGGGATTGAGGACTGATCCATTTGTTCAGCCAAAGGGCGGGGACATGAAGCATTTTAAAATGAACTACCTTTTCAGGGTAAAGAGGTCAGAGCTGGTTTTTTGAAACATCATCACAGGACTTGAACATCTAGAGAGAAGTCCTTGGAGCCTTGGAGTCAGGAGAGAGTGTGAATGGCTCCCCAGTCTTGGGTGGTTCAAGCTCTGTAGTCAGTGTATCTGTGCACAAAGAGCACTAAGCCCACCTACTGCACTGGCTAAGTTTCCACGTGGCTAAGTCACAAGGAATACTGAAGTATTTACCTCGAGTAAATTGAAGTGCTATATCACCTCTGTGTGGCTCAGAGTTCCCAACTGCATAGTGGAGACAAAAGGTGCTATCTCTGACCCACTGGGACCAGGGCAGGAGTGGAGTGGGTGAGAGAGAGCTAGAAAGCACTGGGTCCTTCTCCAGAGAAAGGCAGTGTTCAAGTAACAAAGTACTCCAATCAAAAAAAAAAAAAAAAAAAAGCACAAAATTCAAGTAACAGAGTCGCAGGTGCTATGTTCTGGCTTTTGAGCAGAAGCTGTGTGCACCTGCCATGGAGAGCTGGTAGGTAAATGAGCTGCATGGCTGAGGACGCAGGAGAAGCTCCCTGCAGAGCCATCGAGTCTTCTGTACCACTGAGGACTCATGCTCTTCTAGAGAGGAGAAAATGAACCTGGGGTGGGGAAGCTGAGTGGAATTAGCAAGCAGTTCAGGGTGATTGATTAATGCATATTAACTTCTGTTCTCTGCATATGACCTTCAATTTGGTTATCAACCTAAATTTTAACAGATTAAAGGTTTTCTTCATTTTGGCAGTAGAAACAGAAAGGTTACCAATTTTTCTCCTATGCTTTAGCATAAGAATTCAAAAAACAATTTGGAGACAGGTACTGAGGGAAAATCCACACACACAAAACGTCCCCTCCACCACCCCCAATAGAGCAGGAAGAGGAAAATCAGGAAGTTTTTGCAAATGAGAAACTTATTTTCTTTTTACAGTTTTCTGTTCTAGCAAGCTGGTGTGTGCATGCTTGGGTAACACCCAGAGAACTGGAAGGTTTGGGGGTTTTTGTCCCAGGGATCCTGAAAGGCCCTCAGGACAGGACAAAAGAAGGCTTAACAGTCTAGATATAATCTTTTCTAAATAGCTCACACGGAAAAATTGGGAAAACTTCACACTTTAAAACCACAATATTAATTCTGTCATGAAAGTCCACTCCATCAGTTCTCCAGTGGAGAGAAAACATCCCTACTCCAGTTCCATCATAAAACTCTCCGTTCCCAGCTTTATGGGATGTTGTTGCTCATCTCTGAACCTCCTTATTCATCTTCACTGGCAAATGAAACCGGACGGGTGCAGCTGGAACCCTTACACAGCGCGCAGAGGCGAGTCCAGCACAGTGGCCAGGAGATATCATCGTTTTTTAGTGCCACTATTCCCGCCGCTGGATTTGCTGAAGCTCCTGCTCATCTGAGGAAAGTGCATGGTTGGGGTTCTTTCTGTTGGACCATATAATCCCAAATTCCTGGCAGTGGCTGATTTCCTCAGTGGCTTCACACTGGGGAAAGGGCTAAAGATGGGGGTTTTTGAGTGGCTGCCTTGGGGAGGTTTGCTGGTGGCTTTGATTTCTCCAGGGGCATCTGGTAGCTCTGGAACATGCAGTTGGCAGGGCGGATGCACCTTGGGCTCAGTTTCAACAGCAGCATCCCTTTGGTTCAGTTCCAAGGCTTCTAACTTCACTTGAACCGCAGACACATCGACATCAGCGTCCCCGAACACGGGCTCTGGAGACTGTCCTTCAATTGTCCTACCGATGCCACCTTCAGAGCTGCTGCCTTCTTTTGCAGCGGGGGCTGCACACCTGGAGGAAAACTCCTCTGCTGCCCCCAGGCTGTTGGTCTTACAGCCCTCGTTCTGCTCCTCAATCAGCCCTATGGTGTCCCCACAGCCCTGGTGACTCTTGCTCCTCGGCATGTTCTTCTTGTGGACTCGGATGTGAGTTCGCCATGGAGAGTTGAGCTTTGTTTTAAGATCTTCATAGGGGACAGGAGACAGTTTGCCTCCTGCATGACCAGGGATGTGAATGACTGCATTCTTGGCAGCTCTGTTCGTCATTTTCATCTTCTTCCCTAAAAGAAGGTGGTTTATAACTGGAGAATTGTTTACCTGAGATGGGAGAATGCTGGTCACTGGTCCTTTGTCTGAAAGAAATGGTGAAAGGCTGTGTGAAAACACACCACAGAGAAACACCCCGACCTGAAGAGTGATCACATGGAGGTCTTCCCCGCGCCCTTTCCAGAGCCATGTGACCGAGGGCAGCAGAAACTGAATTCAACCCTAGTGTCTGGGGTGCCCATTTCCCTCCTGTCAAAGAGGCAGATACTGGAGGGTGAGGATACAAAAAATAAATTAAAACTACAGGGACTTTGCCGAGACATCATTACTCATGACAGCCCAGACTCTCTAATGTCTTTTACAGACAGCTTTTGCTCTCAGTAACAACCTCAGAGGTCCTAGATCTGGAAAACCTGGGAAAAAACTTTTTTTTTTAAATAATTCGACAAACATTATGACCATATGGATAATCAGTTGTCAGCTTCTGCGAGGTAGGAAGAGAATGCACAGCATAAATATGCTATTATGAAGTGAGAGAAATGCTAAGAAGGTAGCAAAACTGCAGTGGAATCACCAGCTGCCCAGGTGAAAAAGCACTGGGGGGGTGTTGAGAATAAAACCTAAGGATAAAGAACCACTCCTGTGTCTTCAATGGACTTTGACAGCCAACTGCAAACTGGAAAGCACCAAGAGCTTTGTTCTCCTGGAGAGCACTGTGGATAGTGGCGGTACCTCCTCCAGAGGCTCTTATCAAGTTCCTTTTCTGATACAGTGTTAAACACAGAAGGCCCCAGGAAGGTGGTAACAGCCAGAAGTGGTATGGAGAAGGTCCCTCCATCTTTGGGTGGACATCCTTCCTCCTTGACATCCACGTCATCTGGCTCACTTCTCTCCACCAGTCTCTACTGTTGTCATCTACCTCCGGTCACACCTCAATCTTTAATGAAAACTGACAACTATCTGTTCTTCATCTCATGTCCTACTTACCGCAACAGTGTTTTGTTTTTTTGTTTTTAACGTCTCTGTTTTTTTTTTTTTACTGTCTCTGTGACTGGCCCAACTATTACCTATTCTCATAGTTCCTCAACCTCTCCAATTCCATCCTAAAGCTTATTACCCAGCTCTGCCTTACATGAAAAAATATTTAACTCTAATATTCCTCTCTTTGACTCTTCTAGCTCTTAGGCCCTCAATCTAATTATACCCGGTACTGAGCCACAGAGACTTCCGGTTCCTGGATACCTCAGTCTTCTCATAATCTCTCATGTATCTTTGTCTCACTTGCACCCCACCCTGCTAGAAACCAGACTGATCTTTTGACCACTGCTTCACTGGTACCCCACAGTCCAGTGCTCCCTCTGCCTCTATCACACATCCTGGCAAAACTCCCACCCTCAATCTAAATTCCACATTCTCCTTCCTAAAAGAGAGCCCATCAAATTCATGACTTTCTATTTTGCTGGATCCTCAATGATACCAAACCATCTTTTTCTTTCCCTCTACCATTCCTTTCAATCACAATCTTCATTACTTTCCTTAAGCTCCCCCTTACTCCCAACCCACAACTTATTCAGCAAATAACAAATAACTCCCAATTTCTCCATGAAAGCAAAACTCTGAAAAGGCATCAACTTCCTGTCCTCCATAACCCAGGAAGCTAGAACTGCAACCACCACTTTCCACTAAGTCTCAGAAGCTGAAGTCTTTTGCCTCCAGTTGAGGTTCATCACTCCTCCTGTGTGGTTAACCATATCATTTGTCATCTCCTCTAAAGCCTTGCTACTCAGAGTGTAAGCCCCACCCAGAAGCACCCACATCACCTAGGAGCTTGTTGGAAATGCCTAATCTCAGCCCCCCTCTAACCCTACTGAAACAGGAGATCCCCAAGTGGTTGATATGCACACTAAAGTTTCAGAACCAATGCTGTAGAATTTGGCATCTAAGCAAGAATCCTCCCTGCAGAAGAACCACATAAACCATGATCTAGAGCAGGTAACAGTAAGCTTTTCCTGTAAAGAACCAGATTGTAAATACTTTAGCCAAGGTAGTGTGAAAGCAGCCTCAACATGTAAGTCAATGAGTGTACTGGTGTTCTAATAAAATTTTATTCATAAATACAGGCCATGGGCAGGACATGGCCTGTAGACCTCAGTTTGCTGACTCCCTGACTAAAGCATAAGCCACTGAATCAAATTAACATCCAACAGCAATTGTTCACCATCCCACCCAAAGATCTGTACAGTGCCCTGAAAAAGGACTGCATGATGAATCAGAACACCTCGGCTCTAGCCCTGGCCTGACCGCTCATTACAGCTATAAACCCTGGACAACTGTTAAGGCTTCCTCAGAGATTTAAGAACAAATAAGAAAACAGGTGTTCCAGTGTTATAAAAATTAAAATGATGTCATTGCTAGTTTCCTTCATGATTGCTTTCGTAATGCTTCAAGCGCAGCCTCTTCCTCCTGATAACTGGAAGGTGAATTCAGTTTTTGTGCCAGATCAGTCACATGCTCACAAGCCACTTAAAAACATGTCAGATTTATATCGCAGTTAATTCTGGGCAGGCATCAATTTTCATTAGGATATTCACTTACAGTAAGAAAACCCATTCCCAAATCAGCATATATTAAACAATAAAGCAGATTGCTCACTGAGATTTGGAGAATTAAAAAAAAAAAAAAAAAAGATGAAGCCTGACAATCCTTGGAAAAGAGCATTTCCTTCTGCATTATAACTGTTCCATACATTCTCCAGACACTGCTAACTCATCTGGGAGGCACAGGCTTTTCAATGGATTTTTTTTTCCATTTCCCCTGATGACAACATCTGTTATATTACTACCTAAATGACTAGTGTATAGTTTAATTTACTAGCACACCAATGACTAAATTCTATTTTCAAATGCATGAAATTCCTAAGATTCCTCAAGTCCAAGGATTGTGTGACTTTGCAACATTCTCATCATTTGTAAAACCCCTCTCCACAAGCCCACAGAGTAAAGATGTAGTACCATCGACGACTGCCTGCTTCTCGGGGCCTAAAAAGAACCCATGGTCTTTTTCTTCTTTAGAGCCTGATAAAATAAAATTTTAAGTGAGATGCTAAATATGCTATTGTGTCTTGTCAGCTGAGTTCACGGAAACTGAGCACCAGTTAGTAATTCTGAGGCCCTCCGAAGTTTATTTGTCCTTCGTTACACAAGTTGAGATGGAACTGAAACTGACTCAAAGAATCCATTACCTGCCCTGATGTACACCTGGTGGACCTGCTGCTGCTGCTTCTTTTTGATCCGCGAGTATTGCCGCTTCAGGGCACTGATGTCTGTGGTCATGCGTTCCATCATCATGCTGTTGAATGCCGCGTGGTATTCACTTCGACAGGAGTTGATGGCTCCTGGACTCAGCTCTGCAATATTATTGGATTTCAGACTCTGCTCCTCATTTGGTTCTGCGCTCAGGGAAGACACACAAAGAGCCTGTCAGTGGAGGGGAACCAGGATTAAATGGGACTTAATTACACTAAAACTCAGTATAGTATTTCAGGAAACTGTAAACCTCAAAAAAATAACTAGAAGTTGTCCAGTCCTTATTTACTTATTAGCCTAAGTCGAAATGAGCTGTGTGGGTTCATTGATTTTGTTACCACTTTGTTCATTATACAGACATAAAACAATTGCTTCCAGATAAAAGTCAATGTTATTTTCTAAAATCCCCTTAGAAAGATATACCACCAGATGTCTAAAATCATTTGCAGATTTCCATACAACTGCAAGAGGATTTATAAGGGATTGACAGCTTCTAGAGTTTAGACATTCATTAAGAGTACATTTTCCTTAAATTAAAAATACACTGTACCTGCTAGAAATGAATGTTTTGTTCATTTAGCAAACACTTCCTGTCTACTATGCATGTTACATGTAATGTGGTTTCTGCTCCTGTGACATCTACAACTTGCAGAGCTGTCCCTTAAATAAAATTGTGATTATATCCAAATTGGTTTCTAGACATGGAATCAATATTTAAAACTAGTGCTCAAGTTTCTGACTGTGTTTCTGTAGTCTGGACCTGTGGCTCAGGCAATTACTGTAGTGAGAAAACACTCACAGACTGTGCAGGAGAGAGAGAAGCAGGCTTTCCTAACACAATATGTCAAACTGACCTGGGAACCACCTAAAATAAGACTGAGAGATTTCAACTATCTTAATATCTGCTGAGAATGTCTTTCAAATAAAAGCCGAACATCTCATAGATTCCCTTCTCTTCCCAAAAGAGAAGAAAATTAGAAGGGGAACTATTAATTTGAACAAAGTCAATAATAAAGACTAATGATAAAATTTAGGAGAAAATGATAGTGTCATCCTGGAGTACAAAATTGCACAGACAGAAAAACAGAACAAAGGCCCAGACTACAGAAACATAGTCAAAAACTTCAGCACTTATATTTAAGATAGTTCCATGTCTTGAAATAAAAAGCTGAAATTCAGGTAACAAGAAAGGGGGTGGAGGACATTACCAAAATCAAGAGGAATTTTGATGGATTCAAAAAGATGAAAGACCCACCATGGACATATACTCAAAGCAGTATGAATGCAGCCATTAGGAAGGTTCAAATGCAAAACAAGCTGCGGCTTGGGGAAAATACACAAAACTGTCACACCAAAACAGCAACAGCAGCCACCACCACCACCTTCTGAACAAGAACCAAAAAATGAAAGGTAAGCCCCCATGATTTCAAGAAGGCAGTACAGTGGTGCACTCCTGTAATCCCAGCAGCTAGGGAAGCAGAGTTCAAAGCCAGCCTCAGCACATTAGCAAGGCCCTAAGCAATTCACTGAGACCCTGTCTCTAAATAAAATACAAAAAAGGGATAGGGATGAGGCTCACTGGTTAAGTGCCCCTGAGTTCAATCCCAGTACAAAAAAAAGAAAGCAGTACAAAGTTAGCAGATGGCACAGAGACTGCAGAGGTGCCTCTGTCTCTGTTTTCAGCATATCTCTATCCTCTGTGAACAGGGAAAATGGACTTCCAACCAGAAGAGGTAGAATAAATATCCTAAGGAGGAGCTGCCATCAAATGGGAAAGAACTTAGTGGGAAGACCACAACTACTTCCAAAGAGCTCATTCACTGCTAATGCCCAGACCACAGGAAGTCTGTTCTGTGCAGGAAGTAAACATGACATAGCATTGGATCCAGAGCACCACATTTTAAGAGGGACATTACCAAATTATAGGACAGTAGAGGTAAATTAAGAGAATACTAAAAGGCCTGCAATCATATCGTATTACAAATGCTTGAAGGAATTCTGAACTTGAGTCTTAAAGATAAGCTTTGGGGAATATGACAGCTGTCCTAAAAGATTTGAAGAGATGTCAAGATAGAAGGGGGGCAGACTTGTTCTGTTTTGTTACAGAGGGAAGAACTATTAGAACTGGTAGATGAAGCCTGACTCTTTGCATCTAGAAATCCTGAGCTAAGGAGAAGAATCTAGCAAAACATCTTATGAAATAAAGAGTTTCTCATAATTCAAGAAATTAAAGTAGAGGTTACCATAATGTTTTGGGGTTAAAGATTTAGTCCCATAGGGGAAGAGAAGCCAGTCTATGATGAATTTCAATTAAACTCAGATGGATGTATTAAGCACCTACTATATGCCAGGCTTTGTTCTAAAGATCTAAGCACACAAAGTTGAATCCGATTAATGGGAAGCAACAGTCATCATAAAAAAAAAAAAAGAGGTATGTTCTGTATGCAAAACACAATACAGAGAGATCACATCAAATAATAAAGTGGATTTTGGTTTTGGTTTTTGCTCTTTTGTTGTTGTTGTTTTTGTGGCACTGGGGATTGAACTCAGGCCTACCTTGCACATACTAGGCAAGTGCTCTACCACGAAGCTACATCCCCCAGCCCTGATTTTAAGTGTTTCTAATAAATATTTTTAATGTTAATAACCAGGTTCAGGGAATTACTGAGGCACATATAGGACCCAATGATAATTCCCCTTGTTACAGTGATCAACACATGTGATGATCTAATCAACAGCCAGCCTCTTTACCTTTCATCTGCTTTTGGTACTTCTGCAGTTCAGGTGCCAGGAGCCCACTGAAAGGTCCAAGACACCCTACGGCATCAACAATCGCATCTTCATCATCTGGGTCATTCTCCTCATCACTGTCTCTCACCTTACCATGTCGTCTTGGAAAACATACAAGAAGAAAAAGAAACAGTCCAAGAAAATAGTGGTATTTTTAAAAGAAGTAATACACTCACACTGTTTAAATGACATATTTACATAATTATATGAATTACAAACAGACTTTCCTTCCATCCCTGCCAACTTCTGCCCAGTCCTTGCCCCACTTAATTTACACAGGTGATCTTTGCTACCAGTTTCTTATGTAGTCTTCATTTACCTAGGTATAAATATGCAAAGATAACTACACAGTTTAATCTTTTTCCTCTTTTTGCAAAAATATTAGCATATTATACATATTCTTGTGTATCTTGTTCTTAATCATAGAAGAAATTTTTCCATATTGACATAAAAACATGTTGTACATATACAGCTTATGTTATGGAATCAAGCTGCTAATGATACCTGATTGTTTCCAATATTATACTATAGTAAACAATTCTGCAATAAATAATATTGCACATACTGTGTTTTGCATGTATGAAAATAAATCTATGGAATAATCCATAAGATAGAAATACTGAGGCAAAGGATATATGCATCAGTGATTTGGGCAAATACTGACAAATTGTCACAAAACATAGTAATTAACCTCTCACAAGCAAAGTATAAGTGTGTCTATTTCCTATAGCCTTATCAACAGAGGACATTATCAAGCTTCTAAACTTTTGTCAGAACTTTTTTTTTAAGTTTTTTTTTCCATATTTTTATTGGTGCCTTATAGCTATACATGAGGGTGGGATTTGTTGTTTCATAATAATACATGCATGCAATATAATTTGGCCATCAGCATTCCCCAGTATTTCCCCTTTCCCTCACCTGGTCTCTTTCCTCTATTCTACTGAACTCCCTTAGATTTTCATGGGATACTCTCCCCTCAACCTTTCTTTTCCTTTTTCCTCTCTAGTTTCCACATATGAGAGAAAACATGCAACACCTTGACCCTCTGAATTTGGCTTATTTTGCTTAACATAATGTTCTCACATTTCATCCATTTTTCTGCAAATGACATAATTTCATTTTTCTTTATGACTGAACAAAACTTCATTTGTATAAAACCACATTTTCTTCATCCATTCATCTATTCATGGATACTTAGGCTGTTTCCAAAGTGTGGCTACTGTGAATTATGCTGCTATAAACACAGGTATGCATGGATCACTCTAGTTTAATGACTTTAATTCTTTAGGCTAAATACTGAGGGAACAGTGGTTCCATTCTTAGTCTTTTGAGGAATTTTCATACCCACTTCCGTAGTGATTGTACTAACTGACAATCCCACCAACAGTGTAAAAGTGTTCCTTACTCTCCGTATCCTCTCTAGAATTTATTATTGTTTGTATTCTTAATGGCTGCCATTCTGACTGGAGTGAAATAAAATCTCCATGTAGTTCTGATTTGCATTTCCCTAACTGCCAATAATGTTGAACTTTTTTTTCACATATTTGTTGGCCATTTGTATTTCTTATTTTTTTTATTTTTATATATTTCTTATGAGAGTTCTTCCTTAATGCATGCATGTTATTTTTTTAAGAGAGAGAGAATTTTTTAATATTTATTTTTTAGTATTTGGCGGACACAACATCTTTGTTTGTATGTGGTGCTGAGGATCAAACCCGGGCCGCACGCATGCCAGGCGAGTGCGCTACCGCTTGAGCCACATCCCCAGCCCTGTATTTCTTATTTTTGAGAAGTATCTTTGTATAGTTCATTTGCCCATTTGTTAACTGGGTTATTTGGTTTTAGTGTTTTTTGAGTTCTTTATATATTCTAGATATTAATCCTTTGTCAGAAGAGTAGCTAAAAAAGATTTTTTTACCATCCTGTAGGTTCTCTCTTCACATTCTTAATTGTTTCCTTTGCTGTGCAAAAGCTCTTTACTTTGATACCATCCCACTTACTAACTTTTGGCATTATTTCCTGAGCTTAGGGGTCCTATTGCTTGTGCTATATAGTTTCTGGTCTAATTCCTAGGCCTTTGATCCATTTTGAGTTGATTTTTGTGCAGGGATTTAGTCTCATTTGCTTATGGATAACCAGTTTTCACAGCACCATTTATTAAAACAGCTATCTTTTCTCCAATGTATGTTTGGGGCACCTTTGTCCAGAATCAGATGACTGTATCTGTGTATGTCTGTCTCTGTCTCTTCTATTCTGTACCTGCTTTTATGTCAGTACCATGCAATATTTGTAACCATAGCTCTATAGTATAAGTTGAAGTCAGGTATCATGATGCCTTCAGCATTGCTTTTTTGGCTTAGAATTGCTTTGGCTATTCTGAGTCTTTTATTCTTCCAAAGGAATTTTAGGATTGTTATTTCTAGTTTTGTGAAGAATGTCATTGGTATTTTGATGGGGATTGCATTGAATCTGTATATTACCTTTAGTAGTATGGACATTTTAATAATATTAATTCTGCCTATCCATGAACATGGGAAGTCTTTCCATTTTCTTGTATCTTCTTCAATTTCTTTCTTCAACATTCTATAGTTTTCATTGTAGAGATCTTTCACCTTCTGGTTTAGATTTATGCCTAGGGTTTGCTTTTTTGTTTGTTTGTTTGTTTTTGTTTGAGACTATTGTAAATAAGATTGTTTTCCTGATTTGAGTTTCTGTCAATCTGACAGATAAAAAACAATTTAAATTTCTAGTTTTACACAGCATTTCTCATAAACTTATTGATGCTTTTTGCCTATTCCTGCCATTTCATCACTTTTCAATTGGGTGGACATTTTTTAAAATTGATTTCTAAATTTTTTTTTATATTTGAGATGTCAGTCCCATTTTGTGTATAAAACTATTTTTTAAAAAATCTTTTTGAGTTAGCTAATGAAGGTTTTGTTTTATTCTGTTTTGGTTTTGAGCATAAAGAAAATTATTTTTAAAGTGCTTAAATTTTTTACTTTGTTTGAGTGAGTTAATAAGGCTTTCTCAATTCCAAAGAAGTGGAGGAATTATTCCACATTTTCTTCTGCTAATTATTTCATATTTTTTTCCATTTAACGCTTTCAACCATATGAAATTCATTCTGATATATGATACCCAATATGATTCTACCTTGCTTTCCAGATTTACCATTTACTAAATGGCAATATCTTTTAACCACTGGGTTTTTTTTTGTTTTGTTTTTTTTTTGTTGTTTTTTGGTTCTTTTTAGATATATATCACAGTAGAGAGTATTTTGACATATTATATGGATACAAAGTATAATTCATTCTAATTAGGATCCCATTTTTGTGGTTGTACATGATGTGGAGTTTCACTGGTGGTGTATTCATATATGTTATGTCCGATTTAGTCTACTGTGTTTCCTATTCCCACCCCCTATCTCTTCCCTTCGCTTTTTTTTTTTTTTTTTTTGACCATTCATATTTCTTTTGTGAAGTGTCTGTTCAGTTCCTTTGCTGGGATTGATTGGGTTGTTTGGGGGATTTTTTGTTTTGTTTTGTTTTTTGGTGTTAAGTTTTTTAAATTTTCTATATATCCTGGAGATGAATGCTCTGAAGCACAAGTGGCAAAGATTTTTCTCCAATTCTGTAGGCTCTCTCTTCATGTTCTTGATTGTTCCCTTTGCTGAGAAGAAGCTTTTTAGTTTGATACAATTCCATTGGTTAATTCTTGATTTTATTTCTTGCACTTTAGGAGTCTTGTTAAGGAAGGCAGTTTATAAGCCAACATGACAGAAAGTTGGGCCTACATTTTCTTCTAGTAGGCACAAGGTCTCTGGTGTAATGCCTAGATCACTGATCCACTTTGGGTTTTGTGCGATGTGAGAGATAGAGGTTAAGTTTCATTCTGACTACATATGGATTTCCAGTTTTCCCAGCACCATTTGTTGAAAAGGCTATCTTATCTCCCATGAATGTTTATGGCACCTTTGTCTAGTATGAGATAACTCTACTTATATGGGTTTGTCTTTGTGTCTTCTATTCTGTACCATCAGTCTGTATATCTGTTTCGGTGCCAATACCATGTTGTTTGTGTTACTGTAGCTCTGTAATATAATTTAAGATCTGGTATTGTGGGCCTCTTATTTTTCCAAATGAATTTCATGATTACTTTTTTTATTTCCTTGAGGAATGTCATTAAAATTTTAATAGGAATTGCATTAAATCTGTATAATGCTTTTGGCTATTTTGACAATAATAATTCTGCCTATCCAAGACCATGAGAAGTCTCTCCGTCTTCTAAGGTCTTCTTCAATTTCTTTCTTTAGTCTTTTGTAGTTTTTGTTGTAGAGGTCTTTCACCTCTTTTTGTTAGATTGATTCCCAAGTTTTTATTTGTTTGTTTGTTTGTTTTTGAGGCTATTATTAATGGGATACTTTTCCTAATTTCTCTTTCAGCAGATTCATCATTGGTGTATAAGAATACAATTGATTTATGGATCTTAATTTTATATCCTGCTACTTTGCTTAACTTATTTATGAGTTCTAGAAGTTTTCTGGTGGAGTCTTTTTGGTCTTGCAAATACAGAAGCATGTCATAAGAAAATAGGGTTAGTTTGAACTCTTCTTTCACTATTTGTATCCCTTTAATTTCTTTCTTTTGCCTAATTGCTCTGGCTACAGTTTCAAGGACTGTGTTGAAGAGAAATTCACCATTGATTTGATAGGCCAATTTTTCATATACTAGATTCTGTATATATATATTTGTTAATTTCTTGTCTTTATGGTGTTTTTCAATATTTTTATTCTAATAGCAGAATGCATTTCAATTCATTGTACACAAATGGAGCACAATTTTTTCATTTTTCTGGTTGTATACAACATAAAGTCGAACCACATGTACAGTCGTACGCATACCTAGGTTAATGATAGTCATCTCATTCCACCATCTTTTCATTTCTCTTTATGGTATTTTAAATTAGCTCAGCTGCTTGTGCACACCAGTTCCATACTCTTAATTATGAGAATTAAAATATATTTTTAAATAAGGGGCTTGCTAAATACTCCTTCAGTGTATGTTCCAAACTTCTGTGGAAAGTACAGTTTTAGAAATCTCTCTTGAATTTAAATTAAAATCTTTAGGAAAGAGCGATTCCAATTTTTAAAATTAAATTACTTAAGACCAAATTACTTCGTACATATTTCCAGGTCTTAATAAATATTAATTTATAATAACAAATCGAGATGTTAAGTCTCGCATCATGAAAACAACTTACCCAGAAACTGAAGTGGGTTTAGCTGTGGCTGGGAAGGGTGTAATGTTGTAGGTGTACTTTTCCCTCAACTCTGCCAGTTGTGGAAAAGGGAACGGTGCCATAGAATAAACAGTCTGAAAAACAAAAGTGAAAAATGTCAAGTCTGAAACAGGGGCCTGATACAGCTATTATCAAGCCCAAAAAACACTAAAGTTTCATGAGATTGAGGATGAAGAGGAAGATAACTGCTCCTCACATGCCAAGTGGGAGAGATTATACTTCAATATCCCCTTTAAAAAAAATAATACTGCAGACTGAGAATCTTTATTCAAAATCCAAAATGATCCAATATCTGAAACTTTTTGACCACCAACATGATGCCACGAGTAGAAAACTCCACACCTGACCTCATTGCAACAGGTCGCAGGCAGAATGCAGGTGTGCTAAAGATATTACATAAAATTACCTTCAGGCTATGCATACAAGGTGTATGTGACATAAGTGAATACCATGCCAAGACTTGGGTCCCATCCCCAAGATTTTTCAAGATGCATATGCAAATATTCCCAAATTTGAATCATTTCTGATCCCAAGCACTTTGGAGAGGACTACCCAATCTGCATTGAAAAACACAGCAGTTGAGTCCTCAAATCCACCCAGCTGCAGCTGGGCACTCCAACTGGTGAACAGGGGTGGGCAAATGGAGGCAGTCTGGCTTCCTCCTGTCATTTGATAGATGGGGTAACTCAGAGAGCTATGGCTCCTGACACCTCTGTATCAAAGAACTCATCAATGTCCTTCATATGTAGAGCTTTTTTTTTTCAGTGCTTTGATGATTTCTGTAGACATTAATGTTAACTTTCTAGATGCAGTTAAGTCTCGTGAATGATCTTGTGATTGACCGCAAGTTTTCTCCAAAGATACCACCTTTTCAAATGTCTGTGAATGAGTTCTAGGTGAAAATTGTTAGCTGTTATTTTTAAAGGGAAAAAGAAAAAAGAAAAAAATGACTAAGGCAGAGACAATCAAAACTATGAAAAAAATAAAAAGCATAGAGAAGCATCTACACTTCACCAGAATCTCAAAACTATGTATCATAACTTCAGCAAGAGTAGTCTTACTTGCCCTCTTATTTTTATTATTTTATTCCAAACATATTACTTCAATCCTTCAGGTTCTTATTCACCAGCTGTATCATCCCCAAAGCAAAGGGGACAGTAAAATACTATGACCCCAAATGATGCCCCCTTTCTGTTCCTAAAACCTCACCAAGCTAAAGGAACAACAAGAGCAAGTCTGAGCTGGAAAGTCCAGATACATATTATCTTTCTCTTATACACACTGGGAACTAGGGCAAGTTAGTGCAGTGTTATCTGGACAAAGCTACTTTCTTGCATGTACCCCAGGACAGTTGCTCTTAGGGATACTGGTCAGACAAACAAACTAAGCAAGAAAACTAAGTAAGTGATGACGTCACTGTTTCTACAGCCTAAAAAATAAAACCCCTCTTGAGGGGGGATGGGCACCATGGAATTGAGGGCACCATGGAAAGGATGTGTGTCACTTGTCCAGCCAACCACTGCAGGACAAAACGCCGCAAAGGCAAGAGCACTGCTTGGCAAAGCACCGTGAGAGACGGGAGTGCTGTCAACCTGTTGCCACTGAATTCTTCTTAGGACACTATTCTTGGTACAGTCACTGATCTCTCGTAAGCTTTCCCCAGTAAACCATATGTCTCCCATGCTGTCTCTGGGCACTTTTTTTCTGGGCTGTCTGCAATCTACTGCATTGCCTGGGCACAAACTGAGCTGTGGAAAAGACACCAGCAAATGTATATTATTCGTAGTTTCATTTTCCCAGGATGCAAATCAAATATCTTATGACACTTTTTTAGGAAAATATTTTGAAAGCGGTATTTTTCATTTCATCAGGACTGCTTCTCCGAAGGCTGATGTGTTTGCTCACAGGTAGGGAAATGAGGGCTTCGAAGGGAGTTTAGTTGTGCTGCTGTTTCACTTTGTAGTTCTGTGCACTGCTGTGACAGGTCATTCTAACAGCCTCCACATCTGACTGCCCCTAACCTTTGTGGTATCCACTTACACTTTACCATAACAACCCAAGATCCCAAACAAGTAAGTGTTGGCTAAAATTCCTTCCCTTCAATTTTTTATGCTTACTGTACAAAGCTACACTTCAGGACCACAAAAGTCATCTCTAAGTTGTCTTTTTACATATGCTACATTTTTGATTGATTATATCCAAAAGGCTGAGAAGTGGCATAAATTTACTCAGTAAACTATGTCTCTCACTTCCAAAAAAGAAACAGAAGACATCTTGTGGCTTCCATTAGCCTGAAGTGTGAGATTACATCAGTTCCCAAATTTTTGGACTTCCTTTCCCTCGTCTGAAAAGTGAAGAGTATGAAACTCAGGACCAGGGTTACCTCCAAGAGGGGGTAGAAAGGTCAGGGAGAAATATTTGAGGGTATTCACCATGTTATTAATGTCTTATATCTTAAGCTGGGTGTTGGTTATGTAGGTTTTGTTATACAATTCTTAATACATTCTGTGCGCCTAAAATAATTCATATGATTTTATTAATAATGTGGTCAGAGTGAATGCCCATGTTCTCTGAGCTCACAAAGTATCCAACAGCTACCCCTGTAGAACTCTCCCCTCCTTGCTCATGTGACCACATCTTAGCTCCATGCACCCCTTTGAGAGGAAGAAAAAGATGAGAAATTCTCTCCTTCGCACCCTAACTTTTGACCCAGAGAACAGTACCTCCTCTTGAACCTCAATAGGAGCAGCATGTGCCCAAATATACCGACCACCATATACCAAACATGCTTCCACAGTTGGGGCAAGAGCCAACCCTCAAAGGAGAATGGGAGTGGGGAAGGGGGACGGGAAGGAAAAGAAGGAGGGGGAAATGGAGGGTCATGAACTGAAATTGATTTCCACTCATGTATGAGTTTGTTGGGAAGAACCCAGCTACTATGTATAACTGTAAAGCTCTAATAATCATCATCAACCCGCCCCCTCGTTCATGTGATCTTCTGTCCTTAACAATTGAGAAACTTGTTTTAGGCATTTAAGAAAACCATAGCAATTGGAATCAACTTTAAAAGTTGAGATTATTAAATAATAAGAAGATGATTACTAAATGCTAGGAATTTCAAAATTCCTTACAAGTGAAATGTCTCGCTGAGGACAAAAAGTAGGGTGTCCAGTTAAAGATTTGCCTGTTTTATTTTTGCCAGTTTTGTAGCTGTGTTAGAAAATTCCCTTGTCCAGCCTTGGGAAGGAAGTTTGGAAGAGAGGAAAGGCAAATTCCTTCTACCTCTACTTCTCCCATCCTGCCCAGGGTGGATGGTCTCAGCTCACTACAGCTAGACACCTGGCCAAAAAGGAAACTGGCTCCACTGGGCATTCAGGTCTCTTCCATTAAAGGCTTTCCCTTCTCTATTGTTTACTTGTAGTTAGTTCTTTAAAGAAGTAATCAGTGTTCCTGAAACAAACTTGTTTATAGTTCTTCACGTACATTCACTCACTTACTCGAAGGGCTCATTGTGTCTGAGGCAGCTCTGTCCCATGAGCCTAAGTATCCCTGGCACAACCCTGCAGCACTCAGGGTACACAAAAACTTCTAAGCTTAAACCTGGGGCAGTGGCACATGCCTATAATCCCAGCAGCTTCGGAGGCTAAAACAGGAGGATCCCAAGTTCAAAGCCAGCCTTAGCAAAAGTGAGGCACTAAGCAACTCAGTGAGACCCTGTCTCTAAATAAAATACAAAATAGGGTTGGGGGTATGGCTCAGTGGTCAAGTGTCCCTGAATTCAATCCCTGGTACAAGAAAAAAAAAAAAGAAAGAAAAGAAAAGAAAAACCCTCTAGGCTTCCAACTTATAAATTGAAGATTTTATAACAGATTCCAAATCTCTTAGAGCCAAAATATGTATAGTAATAGAATGTTAAGGTTCAAAGGAATTTAAACATAATGTAATTCAACCTCCCACCCACACAGAAGCCTCTTCTAGCACATCTCCAACAGATGGCCTCAAAGGCGCTGCCTAAACACTCCCAGTGATGGGCACACACTATTCTGCAGGACAGACGGTTTTAATTCTTGACAGAACTAATTAATCAAACATTGTCTCTCTATTGAATAAGCATCCACATCCTTGGGATTTCTACCCAATCACTGACGGAAAAAAGCGAACAGTGTGGGTCCAAGAGCACGTCTTGCCTCATGTCACGTGAGAACTGCCTTCAGATAATAGAAAATCACTCACAAACACTTTGGGGTGAGGTTTCTCAAGCACCTACAACTCTTCTGATATTAGCATCTAACCAACATTTCTCTACATTGCCCTCAAGGAATTTACCAGAGATGTGGTGGAAAGTCCTACTGAGATTCAGATAAACTGCTTCATCGGCACTCCCCCAATTTCCCTACTTAACATTATCAATTTAAAAGAAAAAATATAAAAAAGGTTGGGGATATAGCTCCGTGGTAGAGTACTTGCCTGATATGTAAGAAGCCCAGCACCATTCCCCTGCCTCCCCACCCCCCCAAAAAAATGGAAACCGCTAATTAAAGGAGTGATCTTCAGGGGATAACCCAGCATATTAGTTTATGTACAATATTTAGAACAGAAAGAAACAGGAAAGCCCAAAAGAGAAGAATCCTTTCATATCTTTGCATTCAACCCACATTTTTCATCTGGAGCAATTTCAAGTTTGCTGGAAGATTTAGAGTGTATTGTAGCCAGATCACAATCATTGAATTTTTTTTAAAGTAAATTCAGGAAAGAGTGGATTAGAATGGCATTCACCATTTCCACCCCACTCCTGACCCTTGTGCACTAGGTCCTCTTTCCTCTTCAGCCCCTGTGCACACTCTTCTCAGGGCACATAGGAGCCTATATGCCTCATAAGGATAGACCACACATCTTCTCCCCATATGTATCCCCAGCATGTGGTACAGTACCTGACATTTAGAGATGCTCAATAAATATTTGGAAAAGCTAATGCAGAGCCTAGAAAATGTGGCTGGGGCATTGATTTTACAAGAGTACCAAGAAATACAGATGGCTTTAGAAAGTAGAACGATGAGGCAATCAAAGCAATAAGTATGGACAATTACTTAGGCAGCCAAGTGCTGATGACTGTATTGGAACAGAAGGAAAGAGAAAGGAGGGTTGTACCTGTGAGTTTTGTTTAACCTAGTGAACACTGATTTAAAAAGAAAAAGCAGAGCCAGGTGAAGTAGGACATGCCTGTAATCCCAATGGTTCAGGAGGCTGAGACAGGAAGATCGTGAGTTCAAAGCCAGCCTCAGCAATTTAGCAAGGTGCTAAGCAACTCAGTGAGACCCTGTTTCTAGATAAAATACAAAATAGAGCTGAGGATGTGGCTCAGGGTTTGAGTGCCCCTGAGTTCAATCCCCACCAAATAAATTCCCACCAAAATAAATTCTCTGTTCTATTTTTTTTTAAATGAAGAGAAAAAAGAAAAAGTAGAAAACTAACCACAGACTCTCAATGAGCAGCTCTCGTAAAAGGCAAAGTGCTAAGCACAGTCCATGTCCTCAAAGAAATTACAATACAATTGAGGAAATGAGAGCCATCTTGAATCAAGGCAGAAGATGAAGAAAACTTTCAAGAGGCACAAATAAAATACCCAGGGAGACAGGAGACGATTTTGTTGAAACTGAGAGAAGTTTCATAAAGGATGACGGCCTCTGAACTGAATTTTCTGCAGGAATCTTTTGAAGGCAGAAAAGCAAGACTGTGGAGAGAACAAGGCTAAGGAGGTGTGTTTCCAGGCATTTCTTTGAGCATAGAAAACAGTTTGACTTGATGAGAATAGGACAAGGGTCAGAGAGGGAGAAAAAGGAACTGTGGCTGAAAAGGAAGATCAACACCAAATAGCCAAGAGTCCTGGATGTTTAGCTGAGTGATTTCTGCTGCTCTAGAGGCAGTGAGAAGCTGTGGAAGTTCCACATGAGGGAGAAGGAATAATCCTTCAGAGTCCTACTTTAGACAGATGATGGTGTCTTCTTCCTTTTTTTTTTTTTTTCTTGGTACCAGAGCTATATCTCCAGCCCTTTTTAAAAAATATTTTATTTACAGACAGGGTCTCACTGAGTGGCTTTAGGACCTCACTAAGTTGCAGAGGCTGGCTTTGAACTCGAAATCCTCCTGCCTCAGCCTCCCAAGCCACCAGGGTTGCAGGCATATGCCAGTGTACTCGTCTGATTCTGTCATTTCTGTAGCATGTACAGAGTCTCATGTTTGGAAAATGCCAGTGATGGACCTGGGACAAAGAAGAGTGTTCAGTAAAAGGCACCATCCTTCAAGAGAGAATGAGCAATGAAATAACAGGCCAGGATGTGTGAGAAGAGTTGGAATCAGAGCATAAAATTAGGGCCAGACAGAACACTTCTTCCTTTAAGACAGACAGGAAGAAATAAAAGGGATGAGAGTACACAGGGACACTGAGGTGAAAGTAAGAATGCTCAAGGGAATTGTATCAAAGGGTCAGATAAATCAGATTGCTGCCTGCCAAGAGCAAGAGAGTCTGAGGAGCTGGGGGAGCCTTGGAGTGAGCCACAAAATGAACAAAGCCCCTCACCTATCTGCCTGAAATTGTCCTGAGTCTTGGTTTTGTAGCCTGTTGAGTGATCCTGGCACCTCAAAATGACCATGGGACCCCAACATAAAGGTGAAAGTTGAAGCTGAGAAAAAGGAGAAAAATCACAGAGAAGGAAGGAAGTCCCCAGGACAACCCTGGATACAGCCTCCCGTTTGTCAGTGGCAAGAGGAAGAAATAAGAAGAAAAGAAGTGATTGAAAGCACTGGAGGAGAATGAGGACAAAACTCTGTTGCAGACTCTAATGGAAGAAAGAGCACAACACACCAGCTCTCTTTTCTACACTTGCTGTCAATTTCAGTGACTTGGTCAATGTGATCTTGAAAGACAGCAAAACATGAAGGAAAATATGCAAACCCTTTAAGTCTTTCATGCTGAAATTTATGATTCATGTATAATAAACTGGTTTTAGAAAGTAGAACAATGAAGGTGAAATGAATCAAAATGCCAATTAGAATAATCTTCTTTTGTATCCTAATACCTGCCCCCAAATAACAATTTTACCCCACAAATATCCCTTTAAGAAGGCTAAGAATTAGATTCAGAATAAAACACTATTTTCCCCCTGATTTATTTCTATTTTGCGCCTAATGTTTCTTAAGCGGCACAGTTTGAAGGAAAGCCCTAACAAACAGCCATCATTCATTTCTTCCTTCCTCTTGTCACATAAATTCTTATCAAATTAGACACAGACTCTTAGTCAACTGAAAAAATTAGACTGACAGCTAGCCAAATATATTTCCCATAGACTGCTGCTCTGACACCGGTAGTTACTTTAGCTCTGGGTTCCTGCACCCAGGCTGGGCCCCGCTGCCCACTCACCTGCATGAGTTCATGGCTTTGCAGAAGGTCATTCTCCAGCATCTCCTGGGTGAGGCGCCCCATGGTGCCATAGAATTCATCTGCTGTTTCACAACATTCTATCTGCCTAGATGAAGAAAGAAGGGGGAAAAGGACTTATTGAGGGCACTCATGCTGTGTAATGGGTATGTGCTGTAGATACAAGATGTGCTGCCTCTCACCATCAACCAAGTTAGCAATCAACAGAAATCAAAATCCTGGGACACAATGAATATGAAATAAAGATCAAAGGTACCAAAACCAAGTTGGTCCAGTGGTCTACACCCATCATACAGGCTACTCTGGGGCTGAGGCAGGAGGATGCTTGAACCCAGGAGTTCAAGACCAGCCTGGGCAACATAGTAAAACCTCATTTAAAAAAAATAGCAATCTAGAGGTACTTGTTCTGGTATGCACTCCCAAAATCCCAGCAACACAGCCCCACTGTGGCTCTTCATGGGTTCCATTTGACACATTCTATATATCAGAAGACCCAGCACTGATCAGAAATTATAACCACAGAATTAGGTACTAAAGAACAATTATCCTCTGCAGAGACTCTGTTGATCTTAATCTACAGTGATAGCATGAATAGGTGGAAACCAAACCACAGTAGAGCTAAAAGTCAAAAAATACACAAACTTCATTTGCATATTTCATCAGTCCACAAGAACTTTCTGAGCCCTTCTCAGGGAAGAATCTATTACCTGGTAACCTGTGAGATAGGTTGGACTTTCAACTTTCTTCTAAATTGAGGTGGGGGGGTGAGTAATCCAGGACAAAGAACACAGGGTATTTCTGTTTTATCTATTATACTGTTCTTTGTACAGTTGGACAGTTCAATTTGCTCACCAACTGGGTGATGTTCATAGAATCATCCAAAAAAAAAAAAAAATGATGACGGAGAAACCTCAGGCTTCAGGGTATTGTGTGGGTTGTTTATGATTGTATGAGTATATAAATGAAGTAAACTACTAAAATATTATTAAAAAGATACAGTGTAGGATGTGGGCATAAATGAAAAGTGGTTAAGTTTACCCTTAGGGAGTGAAGAAGAGAAAAAGTGCTTTGAAAAATGCTCTCCAAGCTGACAAAGAAGAAAAAACATTCTAAAGACACCAATGCAGGAAACAGCAGGCCTATCTGGGGAATGGCAAGTAGCTCCACAAGACCAGGGGGCAAATGAACGCACAGCCAGAGGGAGCCAGTGAACGCTGAGGCTAGAAAGCAGCAGACATATGATCACAAAGGCCTCACCTGCCAGCTGAACCACTTCAGGACAATAGTGTTGAAAGGCTTTTATTAGGGAGTGAGGGGACAGCTGTGTCCTTGGGAAGGTCAGCCTGGAGGTGGCATGGCAAATGTGGTGCATGACTGGAGACCAGAGAAGACACACCACAATGGGCAATCAACAGAAATCAGTGAGGGAGTGTGCCAAGATGGTAAGCCAGAGGAGAAAAGACACCGCATGAGATGCTAGTGAAGATGAACTGATGGTCTACAACTTACAGATTCCAAAAGCACCCCTCGGTGAGTGAAAGGAGGGAATCCCCAGCCGCAGAAGGTGGAAGGAGATGCCCCATGGATAGCCATACGTAAGGCACATATGTTGCTCAGGCACACATCAACTGGAGATTACCTTTTATGCTGTTTATGGTTTTTCCAATGAAACATTTGTGGAGTGGATTACAGGCACTAGAGTCAGAAAGATCCAGGGGTAAGTCTCAGCCCTACTAATCATTAGCTGTGGGATAGTCTTCTCACTTGAAATGACAGGGAGGAATAACCCTACCTACTTCCCAGCATTATTGGGAGATCTAAATGAGCTAATGTCCTGAATTTACCTAACATAATGACAGACACTGTCAGCACTTGATGATATGTGTTGGTTGCCTTCCCTTGCATGCTAAAAAGATTTTCAATTATGATAAGCAAAGATTATACCAGACTGATTTTATTTATATATATATATATATATATATATATATATATGCCACAAACTATCTATGGGCTGTGTGTGGACAGTTGCACACAGTAGCCTCCTGAGGGGATAAGTCTGGCATTGGGAACTCCCTCTGGCACCCACCCCCATGCAGGTGAACTTCCCCCTGAAGCTCTGCCAAAGATTCCACCCTGCACCTGAGATGGGTGTGACCTGCCAAGATGTCAATCACCCTGCTGACTTCGAGACATCATGAAGCAAGACTCCACCCTTGCAACCTTATCCCTTCCTTTGATGTACCCGCTTAAATAAACCACCAGAGCCATTTTCTCTTTGTCTAGTTCCAGAACCCATGTAGACTAGATCTATCCAGGGCTTCGCATTCTGTAAATATATCTGAGTATTTGTGCTTTGTTCCTGACTAATCATCTGAGAATGTAAGTTTTAGGGTGGCTTAGACTCCTCTGGTGGAGGAGAGATGGCAAGAGAACCCCTCAAAGAGATGCTGGCCATCATCACCCTGATATATATATATGATCATGAAGTTCAGGATATGATATATGTATATATACACATACATATATTGCAAACACTCATGAATATTAGCCACTTATTATCAGTAGACTTGCATAATTAAAAGCACAGATTCACATTAGATTGGATAGAGAGAAATGATGGGAGGGGGGGGGAGGAGTAGGGGGAATAGGAAGGGCAGCAGAATAGAATAGACATTATGATTGCTGTATGTATATAGGTGACTCTATGACCAGTGTGATTCTGAAATCTGTACAATCAGAAAAATGAGAAATTATACCCCAATGATTCAAATGTATGAATTGCCAAGATCATTGTAATGTCATGTGTAGCTAATAAAAAAATAAAATAAAATAAAAAAGCACAGATTCAGGTCCAGGATACTTGGGTTTAAAACCAGAACCTTCCATTTACGAAAAGGGGGACTTTAGGCAATTCACTGAATCCTGTGTCTCAATTCTCACATCTATAAAATGAAGATGATGACAATATATACCTCTACAGGATGATGGTGAAGAATGACTTAGTTAATGTATGTGGAGGACTTGGAACAGTGCCTGTCCATTTCAAACACTCAATGAATACTGGCTCTTACTTGCAGCTATTGTTATTCTGTAAGAGTGACACTGCTGAGATTACCATAGGAATAAATTCCCATCCTCCAGAATATGACTAGATGGGCATAAAGCCAGGACTTCCTCTTTTCTTCCTGCCCCATTATTAAGAAGTCACAAAGGTGAATATCACTGTCCCCCGATACAATAGAGAGCTTTACTATTTTAATACTACCAACCAGTCACCTAGTAACTGGACTGTCACACCCAGAAAAACTCAAAAAGCTTATAATATATAATGTTGATCAAACACATGTGACTACAGAATGAGTTAGATACTGGGAGAAAATGAAAAGCAAACAGTACACTAAATCCCACACAGATGAACTGATTGGCCTACCTGAAAAGTAAAACAAAACACCACACTAAATCCATCAGATGGATTGTTTGGCCTACCTGAAAAGCAATGTTCAATAAAACAAAAGCAAAGGAGAGAGCTATGTCATATTTTAAAATACTTGTACACAATAATGATTTTTTTAAATCCCTGAATTGATAGTTAGTGGATCTTTTTGCGGGGGGAGGGGGATACCAGGGATTGAACTCAGGGGCACTCAACCACTGAGCCACATCCACAGCACTTTCTAGTATTTTATTTAGAGACAGGGTCTCACTGAGTTGCTTAGCGCCTCACTGTTCCTAAGACTGACTTCGAACTCACCATCCTCTTGCCTCAGCCTCCTGAACTGCTGGGGTTACAGGCATGCGCTACCATGCCTAGATGGTGAAATTTTTTTTGCAAAAAAAAAAAAAGTGCTGGATGTCTCCCAGGAAACAAGTTATCATAAATAAAAAGGCGAGTTTAAAAAAGGTTTTGAAAAAAGACACTGCCAGTGGTTTATTAGTTTTTTGACATGTTGTCCATGCCATAGGTAATGTTATGGTTTGGATATCAGATGTTCCCCAAAAGCTCCTGTGTTGAGCAAGAGGTTAAACAATTAGATTATGAGAGCAGTGACCTATGAGTCCATTCTTATTTGAATACACTAACTGGATGGTAACTGTTGGTACATGGTGTGTGGCTGGAAGAAGTGAGGTCACTGGGAGCCTGTGGTGATTACATCTTGCCCCCCTGACTCTTCCTTCATTCTCTCTACTTCTTGGCCACCATGAGCAAAGCAGTTTCCCTCTACGACACCCTCCACCATGATGTTCTGTCTCATCTTGGGCCCAGAGCAATGGAGTTGGCCAACCATGAACTGAATTTCTGAAATTGTGAGTCAAAATAAATTTTTCCCTAAGTTTTTCTTGTAAGCCAGTTTGGTCACAGTGACAAAAAGCTTACTAACACATGTACCCACTCAAGTCATTCATAGCTCTGGGAAAGAAACATTGAAAACTTCTCTGCTTCTTAAGTAAACTGTTAACAGTCTCATCCTAATGTGTCTTCCATTAACCAAAGGTTACAATCTTAATGTATCAGTCATAATATATTAGAGATAAGTGAAACTACCCTATCTTTTTCAGCCCTGCTACTACTAGTAAGGAATGTAAGTAAAATTTATTTGGTAATATGTTTTGGCGGGACCAGATTTAAACACATAAGCAATTTTTCATGAAAAGAAAGGAGTTCCAGAGAGTCTACTATTGACTATGTACCAAGCACCCTATTAGAATCTTCTACAGGTTATCTTATTTAATTTTATCATAGTTCTGAATGGCAAAACAAAATAAATAATAAAGATTCATAAATAATCCAAAGTATTATATAAGCCAATAAATCCACATGCTCCTCTCCAGATCTTCCACTTTCTCTTCCATCTGAGTTTCCCTCCTTCCTCCAAAAGAATGTCCAGAGGAATGCTGAGGAGAGACTCAGCCAGGACAGGTCCATTGAGGAGAAGGGGAGAATCCTCCTCTTCCCTCTGCCCCGAGCAATCAAGGAGCGGGCAGCTGAGATTTCAGGAGCCTAAAGCAATTCAAGAAAGTTCACAACTTTCTCTTCTCCTCACACTATCAATGCTTCGCATTCAAAGCACAAAAATTGCTTGAGGCTCTCAACACCACAGAATGAAGTAGATGAGGGAAATCACTTACTCTCCCAATTTTGCCCAGATGGCCAGTGACACCCTTAGGATGATCTCCGAACCTTCAAAGAAGACTGAATCCCAGATCTTTAAAACTGTGTGATTAGGGAGACACGTGGCAAAGAGAGTCAGAAACCACTGCATCGTGAAGACATTCGTAAGTGGGGGCTCGTATCCACCTGAAACAAAACAAGCACGCTTAATTCCTTCAAAAATTGATGATGTGTGAGATGGACAAACACCCTCTCTCAGTCTTCCATGTCCACTCAACTAGGTTCTGTTTCTTGACTTATTCCTTCATTCTACATCCTGGTTCTTTCTTCCTTTTATTCCTTCCATGCTTCTGGAGGAATGTAGGTGTTTTTAATGAAAACCTCAATCATGTGAGCTTCATACATTCTTTATGATGCTTCAGAAATCTTAACCTAAAACCTAACTATGGCTTTACCTGTTGTAGGGTGCTGGAAATTAAGAAGAAAGTTTCCTCACCAAAAACAAAACAAAAATAAAGGATTTTAGCCTCTCAAAAGCAAAAGGCATCAGATTTTCAGAATCTTATAAAGCACACTTTTACTCAAATGTGGCCAAAAAGAATAAACTTGTTTATTATAATTTATCTGTCTGCTTCTTAAATTATGTACACAATTTTCAGCAAGCTAGCTGGAAAATCCCAAAATATTTGGAGACTAAACAACATTAAATTTAAATACATTTTGAACTAAACTATATATAGTTTGAAAGAAAGACCTGGGGTTCCATCCATTTTGAAATTCTGAATTTACTAAAAACAGTACTTCCACTTCTTGTGATATCATAAGCATATATTTTATTGAAATATAACAACTCAGACATTTAGACTGACCTTCCCTCCCAGTTACAGTCAGTATGCACAATTACTCAAGTGTAAGCAAAAAAGAGATCTGTTTTCCTGCACCCATTTTCTTCCTCCTTACCTATGAACAAACATTTGCTCAAAGATTAGAACCAGAGGTTATTCCTCATTAGCCAAGTGCCACGAAAGGGAAAACATGTAGCTCAGTAAAACGTGTCTGAATGCAGGACAGGCAAAACCAGTCTATGCAGAAGCATTGTGAAACTCACTCATGCAAGTATACAGTTACGCTGTACACCAAATTAAATACAAATAGACTAGGAGAAAAAACTTAGAGACACCCAGCTGTCACTAAAATATCACAGTGTATTTTAATCAAAGATTAGATCCTCAAAATCCTTTAATATGCTCCAAGACTTAAATGTGTGGGTCCGACTAACCCACAAATGCATGATCTACAACAGGAACCAGCAGCCAAGTCCAGGAAACAGCAAAACAAAACATTCTTTCCCATATCAGAGCACAGACAATGGGTGTAATTGCACCAACTTCAACCAGGTACTGCTGAAGGCTGATGAGGCCACTAGATGGCAGCAGCTCTGAGAACTGCACTTTCATAGCCTCAATGGTTCTCCAAAGCCAGCTTGTGCTAAACGGTACCTGAAGCTCAGCTTTAACTCCGACAGGTTTGGTGCCAGTGTAGAGCACTTTAGACAATAAGACACATACACCATTCTTCATCTACAGTACAATATATCCCATTAGTTTCTGATCTGGTACCAAGGGGATGTTAGGCTCTCAACCTGTTTTCTACCCATGACTAACTAGAGGCTTAACACATGACCCTATATCTGTATTTTCAGTTTTGTTTTTATTCTCTGGGAATCTATTTCATTGCACCAAACTCTTACAACAGAAATACCTGGAAGGGCTGGGGTTATAGCTCTGTGGTAGAGTGCTTGCCTAGCACGTGTGAGGCACTGGGTTCGATCCTCAGCACCACATATATAAAAATAAATAAATAAAACAAAGGTATTGTGTCTATTTAAAAAAAAATTAAAAACAAAGAGATACCCGGAAACCTGCATTTCCATTCAATGTTAGCTCATGTATAGAGTGGAATCTCACAAGCCAAATATTTTTAAAGGTTTAATAGCAATGAAACATCACAACCTCCACTTTCTTTGTTTGCAGTTCTCTGAAGAGTATCCAGGTGCTGAGATAATTCAGGGAGTTTCATTCTCAAGAGGTCTCTGAAGACAGCCATATCCACAGATAATGCCCGGAGATTATTGACAAAATAGCTTTCAGGAAGTACCTTATCAATCAGGTAAATCATAATCTAAAGAAAAAGATAAAGAATAATACAGCTTCATAACAACCAAAATCCTAACATGTCCAAAATTAAAAGAATATAATTCAAATAGATAAAATGCAATTAGCCAAAGCAAACTCTCCTTTAAATGTGTCAGTACCAATTTTTCAAGGCTCACTTACACCTGATGTAAGGAGAAGGCAGCATAATTATCTAAGTAACTTAGACCCAAATTCTGCCGCCCTCTGAAATTCCTAGATGGGCCACCAGACCCCATAAGCAGCTGTGATCACACAACTCTCAGCTTCACTGAGGAATGAGAAAGCACAGGCTTCATCAGCCACCAGCAGGAGCCTCAGCATGGAATCCTGGATGAGTAGTTTACCACGTCAATACGAAACCCAAGAGATGGCCTATCATAAAACACCCACGCTGAGGTGGCCCTGAGATTCACTTTCCAATTACCTGGGTTATTACAGCAACTGATGTTGGTTTTTGACTACTTTCTTCTCCCAGGAGAATGCAACCAAGTTTTGTTTGAACAAATGGGACTGTTTTAAACCCACATTTCTTTCATAAGATCATCACCTGATTTCTTCAAATTACAATCTTCATTCTTGAGTTTTATACTTGTATTATCTTTTCTAAAGTGTTAAGAACCACTAGATCTAGTAACACAAAAACAAGTTCTGGGGGCTGGGATTGTGGCTCAGTGGTAGAGCGTTCACCTAGCACATGTGAGGCCCTGGGTTCAATCCTCAGCACCATATAAAAATAAATAAAATAAAGGTAGTGTGTCCAACTACAACTAAAAAATTAATATTAAAAAAAATGCACAAGTTCTGTCCTTCAATCCCTAGTCCTTTCCCTGTCTGCTTTTATAGTCCATAAGAGACCAGATCATTCCCAGAGCACCAGAAAAACAAAATTAAGAACAAAATCATAGCTGGCTCTGTATGCAGGCGGAAAAGTGCTGTCTCACATTTTTTATCTTCAGGATACCACAAAACTCTATTTTCAAAAAAAAATAAAGTGATAGATAAAAATCGATCTACCTCTGATCAATAGAAATCTCCCTATCTATATTCCAGCCCTGCCATGGGACCATTTTCCCCTTATTCCTGGCTTATACTTTCTAATTTTCGATTATGGTTTTGTATGATTCTTGAGAAAGCCCTCTGAGGTTTTTGATCCACAAGCCTAGGGAGACTTCTTACGTCAGCACAGAATGTACCAGGTAAATGTATCATTGTCTGGGAAACAGGAGCTCGGCAAGACAAGGAGTACATTCAGTCCACATGGAGGAAGAGGTCCCAGATGGGAAAGAGCAGACTCCCAGCAGGGTAGAGCACCCCGGTAGGCACCTAGCACTCCATGGATCTGGAGAAAGGGGATTTATAGGAACAGAAAGGCAAATTTAAAGGTAATGGTCTGGGGGTTATTATCCTTTTCACCTAAGGAGAAGTTATATAGTACCAAGAAAAGCACTCAAGTCATTATTAAGAAATTATGATCCCATCAAAATTATGAGGATAAGAAAAGATATTTCTTCAATTATTCTAGTAATTCTTATAATAAAATTCTCAGTATAAAGTCATCTCAAAGTCTGGTGTTAAGACAAAAGAGACAGCTCACTACCAAATTTCAAAGACCAAATCATATATCTTAAAAAATAAATAAATAAATGAGATAAGTAATGAAAGGGCTTCAAATTTTTGACAAATATTTAGAAACAAAATAATGACTGGGCTGGAGTTCTTGCTCAATGGTAGAGCGCTTGCCTCACATGTGTGAGACACTGGGTTCAATTCTCAGTACCACATATTAATTAATACAATAAAGTCCTTTGACAACTAAAAAACATTTTAAAAATCTAATAATAATTACTAACAAAAGACAGTTCTGGAAATCAGAAAAAAAGTTGTTCACCTATTTTTAATAAACTATGAATTTCCCTAATAATTTCAACTTGCTGATGCCAAAATGGCTGCTAAAAAAACACAGACACTGATATTTTTCTTGGCATCAGAAGTGCTTCTTCATCAACCCAACTTTCCTCTGCATATTAAATATCTAATCACAAGATCTACACATTCCTAAACAATGATGATATATGTCATCTCATTCCATGGGGCTTATTTTCTTGGGGACAGAAATAAAAATATTCAGTTTCTCTGCTTTGTCCAATCCATCTTTTTATGTGAATTTTAGTTTCTCTGGTACCACTGAGTCCTTTCATGAGTTGATTGGCAATGTATACTCCTTTTCCCAAACTTCTCCAGCTCTCTGACCTGAATCACTTATTCCAACTTTTTAACAGAACAATTTCCATTTCATAGCCATACAAATTATATCTGGAAAAAAATACTAACAGTGATAGAATGAGTAAATAAAATTGTTTCTTAATTTAAAATGTCTTAAATTCACACATTTAATTTGTCACTGTCCACCACCCCACTTCCCCACCCCACCTATTTGATAAACAAGTCATTTCAAAGCTATTTCCTTAAATACATGAATGGAAAAAGTGAGCAGGTCAACACACACTTAGATCATGTCCGGCTGGGTTTATAATTAAGTCCACTGTGATGTGTATAAACCTAGGAGGAACATGTGCTTATTTTTCCATATCACACTAGTCAGTGATAGAGAATGTCACTGAGGTATTCACCACAGTCAAACACAAGAGTTGGTAGGGTTGGGAAGGTGTTTTGAATACAGAGAACAAGCCTCCATCTAATATATCACAAACACTACAATCAGCAGCTGCTTAAATGTTCAAATATGAATTGGCAACCCACATTGCCCTAAGCAATTAAGGCAGTGGCCATCCCCCACATTTGCAAGGCTTCATTTATTTCTCATAAAGACTATTTCTGGTGACACATGACTCACATTCAGACCCATAAACTTACATTGTTAGTGTTTTATCTCAAGTTGTTTTCAGAATTGTGTCTAACTAATAAAGGTCCTACACACCGAAGATTAAAAGGTAATGATATAATTCACTTCCATGACCTTTCTCCAAACACCTTCCATAGATACACTCAGCCCACCTCCTCTATATCTCACCCCAAATATGAAAGAGCAAAGGAACCAAATAAGTCTATCCAACCAGAATTAAAGATAACTGGCATGGTAGGCAGTTATAAAATGAACCCCAGTAACCTCCACCTCGTGGTAGTCTTCCCCTTGAGTATGAGCTAGACCTGGTGACTGCTTCATAGGAATAGAATATGGAAAAACAATGGATGTCACTTCTGATATTTGGCTACAAATCTGTACCTTGAACTTCTCCGCCTCACTTGCTTTTATTCTCTTGCTCCCTCAAGGATGCCAGGAACCAAGTGGTGGGGTATAGGGGCTTACATGGCAAGGAAATAAAAGAGGCCACCAGTCAATAGCCAGAGACCCTCAGTTCAACAGCCTGTGAGGAATTAAGTCTTGCCAACAACCACATGAACAAACTTGATGAATGCTCCCCCCCGCCACCCGTCAAGCCTTCAAATAAGAACATAAGCACCAACAGTTTAAATGCCACAATGATATGACCTTGAGTCAGCTAAGCTGTGCCCAGATTTCTGACTCAAAGAAACCATAAGGTAATACATGCTAGCTGTCTTAAGCAGCTAATTGTTACACAAACATGATAATTAACACAATTAATATTTAAGTTGCCTTTAACATATGATGCCTTATAAGTGAGACTAGAAAATAATCACCCTCACAGTCAGCAGCTACGTGAGTCACTTGACATGGCTTTAACCTGGAGAAAATGCTAACCTATATCATTACCAAAGTATGGAAAACACCTTGGAAAAGGGAGAGGCGTCAGGGAAGAGAATTATAGCTCCAGTTTTCTACTCTAAGAGAATTCCAGTCCCCTCCATCAATGACACTTACTTTCAATGCATCCCCTTCATTGCCTTCCATAACTTCCAGAATTAGCGCAGCCAGGATGTTAAAGCCTTGGCAGTACCCGACATTCTTGTTCCATCGGGCATAGGCCAGCAGCACCCGCTTCAGCACAACCCTGTCCTGCTCAGCCTCTTGGCCACAGTAAGAACTGCAGCCTGTACGGTGAAGATCCTAAAAAATAAAGGGAGCAATATTATTAAAATACCTGCTAATGCTCCCTCACAAGGAAAATACCTTTTGTTATTTGTCTCACCATTAAATAGATCAAAATATCAACATGGATTTTTAGCTTTTTTTAAATGTATATGTAACTTATACACATAGGCCAAAACATGTTTTTTAAGTTTTCTCTTTCAAATGTTTTCTAATATACTGTCTGTGCAAGGGGAAGATCAGTCAGGCAAATTTTCTACTTAGAGAGTTCCCAGAATTAACATAAAAAAATAACTCAATTAACAAAAATGACATAATAATTTCACATAAATTGATAGTTTATTTTTTAAATGGGCATCAGTCACATATATACACAGATACATAAATATGTGTGTAGATATATGTATATGTGTATACATATATATTTTAAAAATTTATAAATAAATGTATATGTATATAAAATATATATATATAAAAACAATAGCTAGGGCTGGGGTTGTAGCTCAGTGGTAGAGCACTTGCCTAGGATATGGGAGGCACTGGGTTCGGTTCTCAGCACCATATGCAAATAAATTAATTAAATAAAAGGTCCATCAACAACTAAAAAAATATTTTTTAAAAAATAGCCATTTCAACACATTTATGATAGAGGCTCACAGTCCCTCCTAAAAATTATGGTATAATATTTAGCTACCAAAACAGTAAATAATATTAGGGAGTAAATCAAAATAGAAAAAAAATCTATATTATAGAAAGAAAAATCATTCTATCCAAAACATTTTTTAAATTTGTGTTTGGACAGAAACATTTGTTCTGCATTAATATGTAATGAGAGCAATATCTACAATTTAATTACCAAGCAGAGACTCTGATTTTCGGCAGCTGAAGTCATTTTATTGACATAGCATTTGCTTCATTGGGAAAAAGAACAGATCCCCTTAATAACATGTTTATTATAAAATGTGCACTCTCTTAGTTCACAAGCTAAACAGAAAGAAAATATTTCAAATATGAAATGTTTATCTCAGTGAAACATATTCTGAAATTTCAAAGAGACAGTTGAAATGTGGATAATGCAAAGGTTTTTAATATGCAATGTGAAATGCCATAATTTTTTATCATTTGTCTGAAATAGATCAAGTTAGGTTAGAAAGTTGCTCACTTCAGTTAGTACTTCCTCCTTTAAAAAATATACTCAAATATGCCAAAACATTAGCTATCTTGTAGCAGCCAAAAATTAGATGAAACAACCATCCTTTTAAAATCCCAGCTTAGTATCACACTGTAATGCACTCATAAAAAAAATCAAAAAGCATGTGCTAGAGCCTTATATAAGAGGATTATTCTGGAATCGAGTGGAATCAGCATCCTGGTGCTTTGAGCACCAGGCTCTAATCAACTGCAATAACACAGGTAGGTGAACCACAGCTGCCTCTACAGCTTGCTTGAACCTGTAACCATCCGATTTAAGGTAGACCCATCAGTCAACTCTAACTATCTCTATAAATTAACAGTTAAGAAACTATCAAAGACCCTAATAAGAGCCAAATGATTCTACTATGAAACTTTAAGTTTCTCCAATCAGTGCCTTTTATGTAAAACTCAGTTTAGCAAAGCACTAACCTATGCTAGAGGGGAAAAACTAAAAAAGGAATTTCAATCTCCTATCATGTGATGAAGATAAACAAATTGAATATGAGTGGAAGCTCATTCATTCACAAGCATTTTCTTCTTACCAGCAACATTTAAATTGATGAAAATAAGGCATAGTTGAGTTTCCCCTTTAAAAAAAAAAAGCTATTAACTAATAAAACAAAGACGCAGAAAATACAAAGACATTCGGACCAAAGGTAGAGACCATTTGATCCTCTATCTAGGAAACATTTGGCTCTTAGAGTCTTTTTTCTACATTAGAACTATAGGCCAAGTGCAGGGGCATTACCTTGACTATCTGAATTCCCATCGAATCATCATCAGGATTACTCCTTTCATTGAAAGTGAAACGCATGGTTTTATCCCAGTCAATGGCTATACTGTGCAAATAATGATCTGCCAAGGTCAACCAAACCTAAAATATTGCATAAATAAAAAAGGTTGCTAAAGTAGAATATGTAATTTCACTTTTGTTAGAAAATAGTTACTGCATCCGACAAGAAAATGGGAACCGTTCCTAATCCAGATAAAGCTTGTACGTCAAGATCTGTAACAACCTCATCAAAATTTTTGCTGTACTGAATTGCGACCTTTGAATCCTTTCATTTTTTTCTTTCAATAACTATTTGTAAAGTTCCTACCATGTGTCAAGTAACAATCCAAGCATTAGAAAACAAGCCATGAGTTTTTTGGAATTTTATTTCAGTTTCATTAGATTCGCTGCATTTTCTTATAAACTTGCTTTACTTGGCTCTAAGTTACTTTCATGCTTGGGCAAAATCCACTTGGCCACTCATGGTGGTGGGGCCTTTTTTTCACCATGGAGGCCTCTGCCTTTAAATCATCCCTCCCACACACATAAAACTAACAGATGGGCTCCCATAATGAAGAACTTTTTTAAAAGAGTCATTGGATATTTTTACTCTTTTGTCTTACCCAGAAAATCTGCTTCTACAAAATGCATTTCATAATGCCATTTTAAATATTTATTATAAGGAACTTTCAATGTTCAAATTCTAGGAGTATTAAAACTAGGTTTATAAATTAATATCCTAAGAACACATTTCAGGTTTTGGTATTTTAACTTGATTTTGCAGGAATAGCATTGATTAGTATTTCCAACCAGACTTATAAGCATCAGAATCATATGTCCAAATGCACACTTGATACCTTCAAGTTAGATATCTAATAGGCATCTCAACTTTAATAGATCCCAAACCAAACAGCTAATCTCCCACCAACCCAACTCTACATACAATCATAAAGTATTGCACCCCTGATCCTCCCATCTATATAAACAGTAACTCTCTACCTTTCCAGTCAGTCAGGCCAAAATCTTAAAGTCCTCCTGGACAAACCTTTCATACATTATATTCAGCCCACTTGGATTTCATATCAGCTGAGTATTCAAAATATATATCTAGAATTTGACCCTCCTCTCCATCTCCACTGCCCCAACCTAAATCATCTGTTGCCTGAATTACTGTGAGTCTCCAACTGATCTCCCTCCTTCTGCCCTTGGCTCTCATATTCTCAAGTTAGCCACCAGATCTGTCCCTTTGAAACATAATTCAGATTATGTTACTCCCCTACTCAAACTTCCCATTCCACACTGAGCAAAAAACCCAAGTCCAGCCAGAGTGTACCACCCTTCTGTTACCTCTAAGACTCTCTCCCCTATTGCTTCTCACTTCGTCCTCTGTGCTCCACCCCACCCCTCTGCTTTGGATTGTATCAGGTGAGATGCTCTCACCTGAGGGCGTTTGCACCGGCTCTTCCCTTAGCCTGGAGTGTTCTCCCTCAGGTAGCTACATCTCTGACTTCTTCACTCCCTCAGGGCTCTACTCATGCATTACTTTGCTATTTAAAATTCTACCTCCTTACCCCTATTCTCCCACACTCTCCTTATTTCTTTCTGTGTTTTATTTTTATCCACAGCACTTGTCACCATCTGACATACTTTATATTTTATTCATTGTAAGCTCCTCAGGACAAAAACTTCAGTCTGCTGTTGTTTTCACTGCTGCATCCCTAGCACCTAGAACAGTACGTGATACAGAATGGATAATCAATAACTGCTTACTGCGTGCATAAATAATGAAGCAATAAGTATCAAATTATTAAATCTAGAATATACTTTTTGACATTCCAGAGGTTTTGAAGGACAGAATGACAGCCTTTCTGTATTTTAGCCTTCAAATCCACCTTACCTTTCTTCTCCATTCCTTTGGTATCCCTGTTGATAGTCTGGCTACAGCCTTGAGAGCATCATACCACTAGGAACAAAGAAGAGCTATCAGGGAAGTAATAATACCAACCCGGATAAGCAATTTCAACCTTTTCTCCATCTTGACATACACAGAGTATGATACAATTAGTACAGCACACTAGGATAAATAAAGCTTCTTGCAGCTGGCAGTTATGGGTCTGGGGATAAGACTGCCCCAAAACCCACACCTCTGGTACTCTAAACACATCTCTGACCCATTTGCAGTAAACAAACAACAATTGGGAAACTCAAAAACCAAAACATGTGCCAGGCATAGTGGTGCATGCCTGTAATCCCATCAGGAGGCTGAGGCAGGAGGACTGTGAGTTCAAAGCCAGCCTCACCAATTTACTGAGGCCTGAGGCCCTAAGCAACTCAGCGAGACCCTGTCTATAGACAAAATACTAAAAAAGGCTGGGGATGTGGGGATGTGGCTCTGTGGTTAATCACCCCTGGGTTCAATCCCTGATAACAAAATATATGTTGTGAGATATATATATATATATATATATATATATATATATATATATATATATATATATATATATATACACACACACACACACGCACACACATATATATGTACACACACACATATATACATATACACACACAAGTGTATATATCAAAACATGTACTATGAGTTCAGAATAATAAATATTTGGTTATTAAAACTTTTTCAGGGCTGGGGTTGTGGCTCAGCAGTAGAGCACTCGCCTAGCATGTGTGAGGCACTGGGTTCGATCCTCAGCAGCACATATAAATAAAATAAAGCTAAAAAAAATTAACAATTTTACCATTTATAGAAAGTGCAAAACTGGCCAGACATGATGGCACAGGCCTGTAATCCCACTGGCTCAGAAGACTGGAGCAGGAGGATCACAACTTCAAAGCCAGCCTCAGCAACTTAGCAAGACTCTGTCCCCAAATAAAATATAAAAAAGAGCTGGGATGTGGCTCAGTGGTTAAGTGTGCCTGTGTTCAATCCCCAGTGCCCCCCAAAAAAAGAAAATGCAAAAATTGTCATGTGTAGCTTCAAAAGTTATTTTACTTGAAACCAAGGGGTAAAAAAAAAAAAAAAGAAAAAAACCTCTGACATCTTCCTATGCATATCAAAGTATATGCTAATATTCAAACTTTGAGACTATATCTCAATGTGCCCTACTGGTACCACCAAACAAGAGTATATTCAAAGCAAAAATGAAGTTACCTGCTGAAAACCATTTTGACCTAAAGATGGCTCAAGAGTGAACTTCAATTTTGTATCAACTCCTAAAAGAAAAATACATAAATCATTGTTATTCATGGAAACTATGACAAATTATATCAAAAATCTGAATAAACCTTGATTCTACTGAATAATTATTTAAATTTTTAAAACCAAGTATTTTTACTAAATTATAGCCAATTTTGTTAAAATAAAAAGCAAATGTATTCATTATTAAAACAGGAAGATACCATATGGCAATAGAATAGAGCTTATCACCTGGGATGGTAGTTTCCACAGCTACCTGGAATAGTGCCCAAACAAAACAAAACCTGGCGCCACAGGACTAGAGTTACACACACCTCCATTCAACCTTAGTTCTCACACTCAAACCAACTGCTTCACCTGTCTCAACCTCAATTCCTTTACCTTTAAAATTAAAACAATAATGTCTATCTCTGAGGATGGTTGTGATGGCTAACTGTAAATCTCCAGGTACAGTGTAATTAATATTAATGAAAGGTAGGAAGATAATTCTCTACTTAGAGTTTGTTTTTCCAGGATGCTTGAATGGACTAAGATTATTATGATAACTTTAGTGGAATAACCAAAGCTATAAAATAATATTATGGGGCTGTGGATGTAGTTCAGTGGTAGAGCGCTTACAAGGCATGGCCAAAGCCCTGGGTTCAATCCCCAGCACCAGAGCAAAGAAGAAGAAAAAAAAATATACACATATATGTCATTGCCTTTCCTTTTGATCCATTATAACAATTCTGTTTGGAGATTTTTATGTTTTTTTAAATATTTATTTTTAGTTGTAGTTGGACACAATACCTTTGTTTTATTTATTTATTTTTGAGTGGTGCTAAGGCTCGAACCTAGGGCCTCACACATGCTTAGGCAAGTGCTCTAACGCTGAGCCACAACTCCAGACCGATGGAGATTTTTATATTTTTTAAATTCTGTCTTGATAGACTTATTCATTGAAGATAAAACATTATGTGTATTAAATTACAAACTACAAACTAAACACATAATTGAACTCTAATCCCAAATAATCAACAACTTTAGATAATCTTCTTTGATAGAAATTCCAAATATATGGAACAGAAGTAAATAAATTGGAAAGGGTATAAAGGTCTTCATTCAAAATTCTGTATTAGAATTATGTATTGTTATTAAAATGAAATTACGTGTTTAAATTCTATAAAAATAAAATCATATCTTAAAATACTATAAATCCTCTTTCTACAATTTCAAAATCAAGTACGTGACCTTTTAAATCACTTTTTTAAAGACTTATTGTTTGTAATGCATTCCACTGTCATGTATAAATTTAAAAAAATAATAATAATAAAGACATTGCTTTTAAGTCCAAGAAATACCAAACATTATCAATAACATTCAGTTTTATAAATTACAAAAATCAAATTATATTTTTACCTACAAGTTATTGGTTGCAGGTTAGGCATGTTGAAAATCTACACATTTTCAATGCTGAGGGGTGGTATGAATAGGAACAATCTTCAGAATTTATAAAATATAGTAAGAGTAATAACAAAGTAGATTGGTCTTTTAAAGGACAAATCTTGGAGACAAGAATCAGGAAAGAGATGTATCTGATTTTCCCAACTCCATGACAGGATGCAGATGTTCTTCTTGGAGCCCTGGAAGAGTGCTGTGGATACACGGTATTGGGACCTAGATTTCTTTTTCTTTTTCTTTTTTTCTTTCTTTCTTTTTTAATATTTAGCTTTTAGTTGGACACAATATCTTTTTTTTTTTTTTTAATGTGGTGCTGAGGATCGAACCCAGGGCCTCGCGTGTGCTAGGTGAGAGCTCTGCCCTGAGCCACAACCCCAACCCTGGGACCTAGATTTCTAAAGTCAAGCTACGGTAGAAATATCAATGCCTTGATATTTCTCTTCAAAGCTTTGGGGTCAAAACCACACTCTGCCTGGATAGATGATTTTCTTCTTCGGAGAAAAATTAAGTACCCAACTGATTCTCATCTCTGTAAGATGATTTAAATGAAGTCCAAGAGTGCCTCTAGCTCCAAAGGCATTTTAATAAACAAAACTGTGTTGGGAGGGTGCTGTCCAGAAGCGGGGTGCTGAAGGGAGGAGTGTATAATCATTACGTTTGTTTTACTGCAATTAAGACCAATAAGTCAGTCCCAAGCTGACTTATTCCTGCTGCCCTAAAACTGCAGGATTTCTTAACGTGTTTGACCGAATATCCTCCTCTGACTTTTCTGGAGCACCTGCTGGGCGTCATACAGATTGCCTTTCCAAGCTGAAACCCAGCAGGAGTTGGTTAGCCAAAACCACAACTATTTTCCCATAATCAAAAATGAGTCAGAGAATTTAGGTGGAATTGATCATCTGCCGCCTGCATACAAAAGCTTAAATCAGGTCATTTTCACCCCCTTTTCTTCTAACTGAATAAAGGAGGAAAGAAGGTTTAAGTTTCATCTGATAATCACAGCTGTTCAGGATTCAGAAATATAAAACACTTTTAACATGGGAAGGAGGTTTTTTTTCCTTTTTAAAGAGAGGTAAAAGAAGATGACGAATAAATACTACAATTTCTGCAACTAGACACTCCGTGGGGAGGAAAACAAAGAAACCACGAGGTTCGGAAGGCAGCAATGCTTTCCATCCTTTGGGACTTAGAGCCTGGGCTGAATCCCCCACAACTGGCTGATAACAGGTCCCAGCAGTCGCTGAGGGGCGGGCAGTGGAGATGACCAACACTCTTGGAGCCCAGCCCGGGCCACTCCAGGGAAAGGTGAGCGCCAAGCACCGTTGCGAGTACAGCTGGCTCCCTTTGCACTCAGCTGGCAGCGCCAGCCTCTTAAAACGCCCGGGAGGGACGCTGGGTGGTGGAGCTGACGCCGAGTTATGCAGCCTGGAGAAGCAGGGATGTGTAAACACAGGCTGTTGGCAGAAAGGGCCTATCCTACCACGGCCAGGCGTGCTCCCAAACCTTACCTACATCAAGGATCTCCTGTCTGCTCCCTACCAAGGCTCAAATTAGAGGGTTCATACAGGCTGACCCTGGGACTCATTACAGGCACACTCAGGAAAGCATATATTCGATTTTTGCTTCGCAGTCGCAGCCTTCCCCTCCGACCTCTGGTGTCAACCCTGTGCCTTTCTCCACCCCACACACCTCTTTCAAGGTCTGGCTTCCTGCGAGCCCGGAGCACAATAGGTGGCGCAGCCTCTGATCGCGGGGGCAGCCTCCCGCACCTCCCCACCTCGCGCAGGAGGCCGGCTCACAGGCCGCGGGGTGGGGGTCCGCGGGCGGGAGCAGCCCATTCTTCGCGTCTCAGGAGGCACTGCTGGTGCCCAGGCCCTGGTCCACGCACTGTGCCCTCCCAGGCCGACCGAGCTCCGCCAGCACCAAGCCACAGCGCCTGGCCTAAGCGGAGTCCAGCGGAGGCTAGGGTGCAAGCCGCACCGGCTCCAGGGCGCCACGCTACTTTCCAGCGCCCCATCTGCAGCCCCGGGTCCTCACCCGGCTCCAGGGTGCAGAGCAGCCGGGGCGCGGTCCGCGAAATGCAGCTGCGCTTCTTGAGCACATTGCTCAGGATGGTGCCCACGCCACCGCCGCCACCACTCTGTCGCTTCAGGCATCTCCCCCCGCGTCTCAGGGAGCCGGTCAGCTTGTCCTGCCGCATCCAAGAGCACCCCGGGATCCAGCACCGCGGCTGTCCTCCTCGGTCCCCGCTGCCTCGTCGGGGTAGCGGCTTCAGGCGCAGAGCTCAGTGAGTCCAAGCTGACGAGGGTGCCTAGGAGCAGCAACCAGCCCTCCAGGGATCGAGAGGACCTGAGAGCACCGTGGGAGCCGCCGAGCATCGGGAGGCGCGGGCATCTGCAGTGCGGAGCCAGCACAGCTGAAGCAGGAAAGGGCTTGGGGCGCGGAGGGAGGGAGGGCGGGAGCCAGTGAGCGGGAGAAGAAGGCGGCGCTCCCGCCCCCAATCCCAGCATCGCTGTGCGCAGGAGGGGCAGCCCCCGCCCTGGAGCCGGTAGCCCGGGCGTCAGGGAATCCGGGACCGCAAGGAGACCAAAAACAGTTTTCCGCGCTTCTCCCAGGAGAGAGGATTGGAGAGGGCTCCAAAGGGAGCCAGCCTCAGGTGCAGAACACCAGCAAGCTGCCAGTGCCCACCTCATCTAAGCAGCCTTGGAACCAAAGGTCAGTCCGCCACAGGACAAATCTGGCAGCGTGGCATTGAAGCTGACAGATGGTGAAGTACAATCTTCCCCCCAAATTGCGTTAAACTCTTTCCTGGCAGCTTAGAGAGGCATAGAAAATGTGGTTTTTAAAGGGAAAAAAAACACTTTTTTAAATGATTATTTCTCTTAGAAAAAAAAATGGATCTTTGGAAAAGTGTTCTCATTGAAGAGCAGTTTTTAAAAGAAGTGGTTCTTCATCTCTCCAGAGCTTCATTAGTTCTGAGCTAGGATTAACCATCCTTGCTGTTAAAAAGAAAAAAGCCATTCTTAAAACAATGGAATATTTACCACAAAAATGAATGAGGAAGAAAAGGGTAGGGTATAAAGATATTTGTATTTGCTATTCTTTGGAAACAGAAACACTAGTTCAATAAACCAAAAGTGAAATTTAAAAACTGGGAGGGGGTACAGTGTGAAGATTGGAATGAAAAGCTGAGCTTTCTTTGGATTTGCCTTATGTAGTTTTTTCAATATTTTTTTAGTTGTTGATAGACCTGTATTTTATTTATATGCAGTGCTGAGAATCGAACCCAGTGCCTCACACATGCCAGGCAAGTGTGCTACTGCCTAGTCCCAGCCCCAGCCCTGCCTTATATAGTTTTGACTGTGGAATAACATTAACAATATTAATAAAATTTATAAAAAAGACTCTAAAGTCTCAAAAATGAATGAAAGCAAATGATCCTAACTAAACAGCCATTGATAGTATAAGAATACAGAAAAAATAATTGATTTAGAACACAATATGACTTTCATTGATAGTGGTATATATTCCAAGAGCAAATAGAGCTGAAAGAAAATATTAATTTCATTCAGGAGTA